CCCCCCCCCCTAACCCTAACCCTAACCCTAACCCCCCCCCCTAACCCCTAACCCTAACCCTAACCCTAACCCTAACCCTAACCCTAACCCCTAACCCTAACCCTAACCCTAACCCTAACCCTAACCCTAACCCTAACCCTAACCCTAACCCTAACCCTAACCCTAACCCTAACCCTAACCCTAACCCTAACCCTAACCCTAACCCTAACCCTAACCCTAACCCTAACCCTAACCCTAACCCTAACCCTAACCCTAACCCTAACCCTAACCCCTAACCCTAACCCCTAACCCTAACCCTAACCCTAACCCTAACCCTAACCCCTAACCCTAACCCTAACCCTAACCCTAACCCTAACCCTAACCCTAACCCTAACCCTAACCCTAACCCTAACCCTAACCCTAACCCCTAACCCTAACCCTAACCCTAACCCTAACCCTAACCCTAACCCTAACCCTAACCCTAACCCTAACCCTAACCCTAACCCTAACCCTAACCCTAACCCTAACCCTAACCCTAACCCTAACCCTAACCCTAACCCTAACCCTAACCCTAACCCTAACCCCTAACCCTAACCCTAACCCTAACCCTAACCCTAACCCTAACCCTAACCCTAACCCTAACCCTAACCCTAACCCTAACCCTAACCCTAACCCTAACCCTAACCCTAACCCTAACCCTAACCCTAACCCTAACCCTAACCCTAACCCTAACCCTAACCCTAACCCTAACCCTAACCCTAACCCTAACCCTAACCCTAACCCTAACCCTAACCCTAACCCTAACCCTAACCCTAACCCTAACCCTAACCCTAACCCTAACCCTAACCCTAACCCTAACCCTAACCCTAACCCTAACCCTAACCCTAACCCTAACCCTAACCCTAACCCTAACCCTAACCCTAACCCTAACCCTAACCCTAACCCTAACCCTAACCCTAACCCTAACCCTAACCCTAACCCTAACCCTAACCCTAACCCTAACCCTAACCCTAACCCTAACCCTAACCCTAACCCTAACCCTAACCCTAACCCTAACCCAACCCCTAACCCTAACCCTAACCCTAACCCTAACCCTAACCCTAACCCTAACCCTAACCCTAACCCCTAACCCTAACCCCTAACCCTAACCCCTAACCCTAACCCTAACCCTAACCCTAACCCTAACCCTAACCCTAACCCTAACCCTAACCCTAACCCTAACCCTAACCCTAACCCTAACCCTAACCCTAACCCTAACCCTAACCCTAACCCTAACCCTAACCCTAACCCTAACCCTAACCCTAACCCTAACCCTAACCCTAACCCTAACCCTAACCCTAACCCTAACCCTAACCCTAACCCTAACCCTAACCCTAACCCTAACCCTAACCCTAACCCTAACCCTAACCCTAACCCTAACCCCTAACCCTAACCCTAACCCTAACCCTAACCCCTAACCCTAACCCTAACCCTAACCCTAACCCTAACCCTAACCCTAACCCTAACCCTAACCCTAACCCTAACCCTAACCCTAACCCTAACCCTAACCCTAACCCTAACCCTAACCCTAACCCTAACCCTAACCCTAACCCTAACCCTAACCCTAACCCTAACCCTAACCCTAACCCTAACCCTAACCCTAACCCTAACCCTAACCCTAACCCTAACCCTAACCCTAACCCTAACCCTAACCCTAACCCTAACCCTAACCCCTAACCCTAACCCTAACCCTAACCCTAACCCTAACCCTAACCCTAACCCTAACCCTAACCCTAACCCTAACCCCTAACCCTAACCCTAACCCTAACCCCTAACCCTAACCCTAACCCTAACCCTAACCCTAACCCCTAACCCTAACCCAGAAGCCCTCCAAGCCCTAACCCCAGAAGCCCTCCAAGCCCTAACCCCAGAAGCCCTCCAAGCCCTAACCCCAGAAGCCCTCCAAGCCCTAACCCCAGAAGCCCTCCAAGCCCTAACCCCAGAAGCCCTCCAAGCCCTAACCCCAGAAGCCCTCCAAGCCCTAACCCCAGAAGCCCTCCAAGCCCTAACCCCAGAAGCCCTCCAAGCCCTAACCCCAGGTCGTGTGACTTTAACTCTCCCTCCTCGTTTCGCCCCACCTACCCACCCCATGTCAATTTCATTTATATATGCCTCTTTTTTACCAGTTTTCACATCACTATTTGCCATTTTTTTTCAATCAACACTTGATTTGATTTCATAACTGCACATGCTCCGTGACATTGTAAATATTCATTACCTAGATAAAATTTAAACTCCCTTTTTGATCAACAAGTCCATAACAATTTTTACCCTTGTTAGGCTTATTCTAGATAACATCTTGTTTATACTGCGCTATATTGCACCATTTATGGAACAACTGTTTGAAATGTACATGTGCTTGTCATCTTTCGTCACAATAACATCAATTGTGGCATTGAAAACACACTGAGTATTCTTCATCAAACTGACAAACATTTTCCTCTTTAAACTCTTGAATAAAATCACCAAACATGTACTTTTCCTTTCCAAGCACAATAATGAGCCTTTGTTTTACCCAAAAAGTGTTACGTGTACCAAATAATGTAATTTATGACAAATGGTACCGAGGGAAAAAGTTGCACTTTTGTATACGTGCGAGACTAGTGTGGACCACAACTTGCACGTATACAAAAATGCAACTGTTTTCTGTATCATTTGTCATAATTTGTATAAATTCGTACACATAAGAAAGAGTATGGCTGGATTGCTATTTTCTGTATTGATTACATATAGTCGTTAGTTCAGCAAGTAGTGCTCAGTAGTTTTTGAGTTAAACCAAAAAGTATTGGAAGATGGGGACTTTCTTTTTGGGTTGAGTGTAGTTACATTTATAGTTCTGTTGGGGATACTAAATAGATTATCAGGGAAGATTGGGCTTGAAAGAGTTACCCCTCGCAATGAAATCCTAACTAAGTACTGTATTTCAGCCAAAATATTACCCGTTGGGAAGTTTTTAAAAAGTTTAAGCAGTTCCGCCATAGAATTAATTACCCTAGATATTATTTAGGGCACTCTAACCAAACAAACCAAATTTCTCAACGCTGGGTGTCACACAGTCGAGAAAATAAATCCTTTCCAGACTTGAAAACGTCTTAGGTTAGTTATAGCCATGGTCAGTGAATGGTAGGAATTTGTATTGTGACGCTCTAGTGGGTGCTTTGTGTTTAGGATCCATAGAAATACGCTCCATTTTTCGAGCCAGTCATCCGCTTGACAACAGCAACAGCAGCGGCGGGTGCCTTCAGTTCACAGCTATTGCAGTATCCTCGTCGTGTTGACTACGACTTCCTTTGCTAAAGGGCGAACCTGTTGGGACTCTTTCGTTTGACATAAAAAAGGTAAACATTTTGTGATTATGACTGGGAATTGTTTTTCTTCTATTTCGAGCTCAATGGTTAAGACCTTAATTGGGCATGTCAGGGTCCGCATGACGATTAGATTTTAAGGTTGTAACATAGTGTAGTTTTTATTGTCCCAATGTTTTTTGTTTGTAACGGTTCCTGTCAATGTTTTACAATCTTTTTATGTTAGAATATCATGATCAAATATTGGGATGTGTTCTCTTCATTTATTGTCTCCAATTAAAAGTGATTTTTATTCGAATTGGAAATTTGGCGATTAATACACTATTTTGCACACCTCCTGGATTGTCCTAGATTATTTACAACGACACCAGAGGTGATTCTGCATTCCTCCAGAAGATTCAAACCAGCATGGGCTTCAGCTTGGTTTCAAGCGCTGCATGGACATTTGGGGGACGCCCAAGTCAACTGTGTAGCAAATTCTGAAAGTGAGTATTTTTGGATGGCGTTTAAATTTTACCTTTTCGTACAAAACTGATGACAATCGCTCAAAAAATGTAATTTCTCTTGTACATCATCTAAAATGTTAGTTTAACTCCATTGGAACACAACAGGTTATAAGGGATCTAAAGTAGGACCTCAGTAGTGCACCCTGTGTTGGAAGAAATTGATTACAGTGGCATTTACTTTGTCTTACGGTTCCCGTCATTCTTCTTCTTTTTTTTTTACTTCTTCATGTTCTATATCATGGTCAATAATTGGACGAAATTTTAATTAAACCCTAAAAGGGCCGGAAGCGGAATCCGCCCCCCCCCCCGACTTTTTCCGCGATAGCCTTTAAAAAAACATTTTCGCGACCCCAGCTGTTATGACTTTTTAGCCTCAGGCCTTGCGCATCTTTTGACACCAAAAATATAAAAATCGGACCAGGGGTTGTCGCCCAGCCAAACATTTTCCGGCGATACGCGCCGTGAAAACTAAATTGTCCCGTATACGTCGTGTACACAGACCAGAATTACCATTCGTACATATGAATAATTAATTAGCCACAATTCCCTAACCCTAACCTATTAAATTTTCCCACGGTTCTCTTCAAATTTCAATTATGTTGCGTCAAATATCACGGCCAATAATTCGACGCAATTTTAATCATAGGCGATGTGTTATTGTGCAGTATTATCTCCAGAAAGAGTGTATTTTTTGTCTAATGGGCACATCGTGACCCACATTGACAGACGTCTTCCGCTTTTGGAAGAAACTGATGGAAGCAATTATGATGTACATGTACAAGTGACTTTAAGTCGTGACGTTACATTATTTCATTCTTCTACTGTTCCTGTCAAGTTTCTTACTTTCTGTGTCCAAAAAAAGCGATGTGTTATTCTGCAGTTATTGTCTCTAGAAAGAGTGTTCTATTTTTGTTCAATAAAAGTTACTTAGTTTCGTTATGAATTTGTCATGATTAACCTGAACACCATATCTTGGTAAATCATATTAAATTTATTCCGGAATGGTTCTCATCAATTTCCAAGTGTTTAAAATATTATGGCCCATAATCGGACGCAATTTTCATTAAATGCGATGTATTATTCTACAGTCATTTTGTCTAAAACAAAAAGTTGTATTGTTCGTTTAATAGCCAGATTGTCATCTGCATTATACAAAAGTCTTAAAGGTACTGACCAGTGTTTGTGTAGGACGCCCTCTTTTGCAAGAAATTGATGGTAGCAAAAGCTATGGAGCGTCGCACTGTTGTTTTAATGTCTTTTATTTTTCTTCAGAGGTTTCCGTCGTTTTTTATGTCAGTACATCACGACTAATTATCAAATTTTCATATCAATACAACTTTATTATTTTGGAATTACTGTCTCTCTAAAGAGTGTCTCACCTTTTTCAATTACATGTGACTTCAATTCGCTATCATTTTTTGTCGGGGTCTAAACACTATATTTTCTTTAAATCATATTAAATTTATTCTTCCACGGTTCCTGATCCTGTCAATTTAAGATGCTGTGGGTTTGAGGTTTCATTGTTGTTCATTACCAAAGAAATTGGCGGCTGTTCCCATTTTAGCATTCTTTAAATTGTACCTTGTATACTCAAGCGGAGCCTTGTAAAGGAATGAACATTGATCCCTTGTCACAGGCTACATACGCCCATATCCCTTGTCAATCCTTCTTCAGCCTCTGCTCGATGCACCAGCGTGTTTTATTCAGTTTGGCTTGCCATGTGGTCTGGGCGTGGCTCAGGTACATAAAGACAGCAGTACGTTATATTTAAATTATTGTACATGTTCAGTATCTGTACCGGGTCGGAATGACCAACGCTTGGTAGATGCCTGAATAAGGTACAGTTATTTATTTATATAAATTGAAATTGTTGTATGAATAAACTGCCTTTATTCAAAGAATAGTTCATTTTTAAGTAATAAAAGAAACATAATACTGCGAATAATTGGTTTGTTGGAAAATGCTCGATGTTAAAACTACAGGCTCAACCCTTCTCCCTAGACTGGGGCTCTAAATTATTAAGTTCGAATATTTCGTTGTACTTTCTTGTCCTAAACTTTGCAATTATTTTTGAATTTAACAGAAAGAGTTCAATGACCAAAAATCTCGAGTAAAATTTGAAATACAATTATTCTGATTATTTTGGAAACTCTCAAAAAGCGTTCAAAACTTTGTTTTCTTTAGCCTGGACGAATTTTGCATGGCGGCCCGAGTAAACTTTTGGACAAATTGTAGTTATTGTCCCCATGAAGATTTTGTTTACTTTTATATAATTAAAATTAACTTCAATTCGGAATGATTTGTTTGTGATTGAAACACTCATTTTCTTTTTTGGATCAATTTCCAAATTTCTGTGTCAAATATAAAAGCCAATTATTGGATGAGATTTCAATTCATTGTAATATGTTGGTCTGGAGTTATCGCCTCCAAAAAAGAATGTTTTATTGTTGTTTGTTCAATTAAAAGTGACTTGGATTTTCTTTAAATCATATTAAATTTATTCTTCCGTGGTTATCGTCAATTTTCAAATTTGTTGTGTCAAATAGTATGGCCAATAATCTGACGCAATTTCAATCAAAAACGCAATGTTCTGTTAAGCAGTTTTAGTCTCCCGAAAGAGTGTTATAGTTTTGAGCAGATCGTGATCCGCATTGACAAAAGTCTTGCTCACAGTGTTTGTGTAGGGCGCCCTCTTTTGGAAGATATTGATGGTAGCAGCTCTACCGGAGCTCACCCGCAAACTTTCTAATTTGCTTCTTACATGCAAGCTATAAAGCTAACAAATTAATTATAGGTTTTCCCAGCGAATTTCCGAATTTTTCTAATCAGTTTCATTATCAGCCATTCAATTTCGCGCGAGTTTTGCATACGTGGTCCAATTGGGGTTTCTTTTTCATTTGGGGTTCATTCAATTTCATTTTTAGGAAGCCAAGATTTTGCTGTGAATGTTCGTTTTCGTTTTGGGGCAGCCTATTTCGCTTTGGTGCATTCAAGACTTAACTTGTAGCAGTCTTAAATTAAGTCTTTGCAACCTTTTGACGGTTGACGCTTTCAAATTAGCGAACATCTGTGCGCTTCTAACGTATAACCATGCTTTTCGTTTCTTATTCGTTTATGGGCAATCGCTTTCATCGTTTGGTCATTTAAATTAATAAGAATTTTCAACCGATATTTTTTCCGATTTTTCTCCGAGGTTCATTTCCCCCCAAAATACAATCTTGATGACTGTAAATTTTACAATGTTACAAATCAACTGATATGAGGGAAACAAGATGCAACGAAATAATGAATTGAAAGGGACTAAGATAATTTCTTTTTCACTGTTGATCTTTTCTACTTGTTGAAACGTTTGATCAAGGGGTTTTGTTACGTTGACGATTTCTTGACGTGCAAGACATCGGAACACGTAATATGTTTGGAAATGGTTGTACCGTCGGGAACACTTCTCTTGCGTTATTTCTTGAATGTTTTCTTGCGTATGTCTGACCGAACACTTACCATATTCATAGGGCCCATGCAAAGTTTTCAATGCAATACATCTTTGTGTCACATTTAACCTTATTTGCAAGTTTTATTTTCCATTTTGAGGGGCGTTTTTGGTGCCTTCTCCGTTTTTATGCTATTGCAAGTTCATATTCATTAGAAAACCTGTGATGGCATTCCGAGCATGATTAATGTTACACGGCTATTTCAGCAAAAAAGTTGCTAGAATTTTGGATATTTTGCTGTCATAAATTTCTGTTATTTCGTGATTATTTGATGTGTCAGTACATGGCAGTAAGCCAATGACCAACCCTTTCCCACAAATGTTTTCAATTAGCAAATTTTGGATGAATAATTTGAAAGAAAAAACCCTAAACTGAACAGTGTCTATCTGAAATGACATCACAGTAACAGCGTTAGTCCGGAAAAACATGGAAACTTTTAAATGCTTCAAGAAGTGCACATTTGCAATAAAATTAACCCAAAAAGGGTTGTCAAATGTGTAGTTTTCTTACATTTCACAGAGTTGCGCAAAAAGAATTCCTGAGAAAAATTCATTGCACATACCCTTTAAGAAAGAAAGTCAATCTACGGTTTGAAGTCATCAAATATGACTTACGCTATTAAAAGGAATACGGACACGTATGAAGTCTTAAAAGATGTTTGACAAAATGTGAAACATGTTTGCCCATTAACGAAAACGAATGCCCGATCAACCCCTTACTAATGGTTTAGACGAAATTGAATGACCAACGCAATGCCTTTAATATGAATGCATCTTTGATAGGGACGAGTGAAGCTAAAAGGCGATAGAATGCCCGGATAGTGAAATTGAATTATTCTATTTGATTGTCGAATGCCGATCTGCGTGATCTTTCAATTTCAATCTAAATCGAATGAGCCAGGCGTTAAATTGAATAAAAACGTGGTGAAATTGGCCGGGAAAACCTATATTATATTTCCTGGATGGTTTAATGGACTGTTTTGGCAACCGGCCGAAACGGCCTTTGTCTATATTAAGATTTTGGCTTTTCGCATAGCAGCTTGCAGAAAAGCCTTTGTTTTTGTTCTGATTTCTTCTTTCTTACGTGTGTTCCATCAACACATCCAAATACTCCTGGAAACTTGGAAAGCCTCTGAAGTCATCCTTAATTTCAGCTGAGCTGTTTTCTGGAAGTAGTTAATTTTTCTGCACATTGGATTTATAGTAACTCGATGAATGGCTCAGGAGTGGATCACCTACAAGCATTATGGAAATAAGTCCTGATGCATAATATTGTTGTGCAATTAGGACTTGCTGATACCGTAGAAGCAATTTCGCCACATTTTTTCTCATTAACAATAACATTCGATTCATACAAAACAAAGTAAACACTTATAGTCTATCAAAAAGTCATAAGTAAATACTTTCAGATTTACGAGTGCTTTTTAGTAAAAGGGTTTGCTTCATTTGATTCATACAGATGTGAGTAAATGCTTAAAAATTGGTTATAAAAGCAAATGCCACTTTTTATTCATAGAACCCAATGCCTCACAATCACACATAGTTTACGTTGATATAATCAACTTATTTTGGAAATGGGTGAATGTTTTAACCAAAAACATGATTTTAACTGAAAATTACTGTCACAAGGTACCACAGAAAAATTGGCCTTAAACGTCGTACAAAGAATTGTAAATGAGTTCCAGCCATTTGTGGTCCTTTTCAATTGTGTTCACAATTACAGATACAATCTGAACACACACCCCTGCCCCCAGTTTCACTCCAGCCTACAGTCATACGTATCTACTCATGAAGCTAGAATGCATAGTATTGATCATTCAAAGCTCTAGGACATCTCCTATCCATGAGCATGCCTCCAAAGCGTATAATTTCAGCCCTACCAACACAAATGGACGGATACAGTGCTTCAGGTGCCAAGCCATATCTCCTCTCTAAAGATGGATGGTTGAAGTTTATAGGACTACGTCCTGCATTCTGATCAGGAATTTCAAGCCATTCAACTTGACAGTCCGTAACTGCTTTACTAATGTCAAGAACATATTGTTGTTCGCCGTATGGGATCTTGGAATCTAGTGGTGGAGATAATCCAAGTTTAGTGGGTGACAACGTCCGTCTGTTACGGGCGCGTAGTTTGTAAGTCACAGGTGTTTTACACTGACACTCTGTTGAGCATGGGCAGCCGATCTGAACACTTTCACTGTTTGGGTCACTCATCGATGGCTGATTGGAATCGTTCACTACACTGTTTTGATTTACATTGTCATTAGATTGACTGCACAGACGTTTGGCTTCTGGGTGGAGGTCTCGTAGAGATCCACTTTCAACAGCTCCTCTTTGATTGGTTGAATGCAGTGATAACTGGCTGGATTGAGATGAATATGCCCCTCGCTGACGATTCCCATTTTGTGTAAACATCCGAGACAATGCACTCCCAACTGACTTGGAGCTTTTTCGTAGGCTATTGAAGATCACAACACATTCACCGATCTAAGAGAATGAGGTCAAAAACGGAAAGCGTGTGAAAGACAAAGAAAAATCATTATGTCCCCAACAAAGAATGCATTCCTGTAAAACATCCACTGACAAGCATTAAGTTGATGATAAAATGTCTCCCGGAATGCATTACAGATTAATGGCAGGGTTCACTTTATGAATACAAAATTCCCTGATATTTCACAGAAAAATTTCCAACTATTTCATTGGAAATATGTACACTTAAACAAGGTTTCTAGAAAGTCAAGAGGTGGTTGCAGCACAGCCAATTGTTATTGCAGTCAATGCACACAACTTGGACACATGGCACAAGACACATGCACACATGCACATTCGCCAAGCTGGCCAAAACTGGCCACTGTCAAATTCCCTGAGTTTTCCCTGTTTGGGGTATTTTCCTAAATTCCCAAATTGTTCCATCCCTTGCATAATGGACACTAATTTTCAATATTTTTCCCGGTTTCCAGAGAGGATAAAAAACCTGGATAGGACTTGTAAATGTTACAGACAGGCAAAGTTTTATCCCTTTAATATTAATTGACTTCATTCTTAATACTTTGCAAGTTACATACAAGTATTTATACAAGAAAGATTCATGTACATGGTACATGGTACGTCGTTTCTGGTGTATGTATGTACATTACAAGCATAAATAAAGGGAATTGGCTGGTGGTGGCACTGGGAAGATAAATTTAAATGCTGCGAGTGAAGGGTACAGTGTTGTAACTTTTTTTGATTCATAAAAACTGGTCCTGATCGGTATTAAATATGAGAAATTACATTGATTTCATGACAAAATATTAAAAGTAAATTAACGTCTGCGTATGTACGCATTGGGTTGGACCCCCCTACCCTCTCCCGTGTACATGGTGTACTTCATGTCAACACTCCCCCCCCCCCCTTTTCGAATGTACATATTTCATGGATGACCCCTGTCTTCATTAGCCAATATTACATACCTTGCAAGCTGCATGGCCAATAAAGTTACGAGCTGCATGTTCTGGTTTTCTTACTTCCACTTCTCTCCAACACCAGGGCACTTCACTTATGTCAAGCATCCAAACATCTTGAAGTTCCTGAACAAAGACAACAATAATATTTTAGTACTAGGTTGCCATTTCAATTCTAGATTTTTTGTGTTTCTTTCCATTAAAATCAAGGTGCTATTGCTGTGTTTTTTTGTGTGTTTAATAAGACCAGAAGAGAAAAAGAGTAACCCTATTCTTCTTGCTCACTCACCCATGCAAATCTACAAATTGTAGTGCTAAATTGTGTAACAACTGACATTTTTGTAAATTGCAATCCGTCTACCAAAGTTATTCTGCATCAGTGTTACTTTAGATAATGGACACCATTTTCAAACATTCAAAAATGAAACTGCCAAAATATCATGTAAAAGAAGCTTTGCCGGGTGATCTTGAGAGTGCCCAAGATCAAGTTGTGAACACAAACCCTTTGATAACGGAATAAATGTGTGCTTGTCCAGTTTTAATACTCTGTTTGAGACGGGTTTGAGTCTGGATGCTGATGGTAATGATCAGCATCCAGACTCCAACTGGTCTGAAACACAGTGTATAATACCAGCCAAACACATATTTATTCCCAATCATAAATACCTTTTCTGTCAAAAAATAAAAACTGTTCAGTCCAAAGGTTAAAATATGTCAAAAATTACATATTTCCAAAGATGATGTTCAACCATTTCACTTCATGTTTTTCGGGACAGCCCTCTAGCTATATTATGGTATGTCTCTGTCGCGAGTCGTGGTGAACAACTCCTTACATGGAGATTGGCGCGCATGCGCCGATATAGTGTGAATTTAGAACTATGAAATACTGACTCACTGGTAGTATTGCACATGCTTACATGAGGATTGTGAACGTTCAACCAGTAAAATGGAAAAAAAAGCACCAGATATCATAGGAGTCCAAATTTCATGTGACTATGGAAAAGTGTTTAAAAACCAGCCAGCCGGTCTTTATCAACCATTTAAAACTGGCCACATGACAGTCGACCAATAGGAATGGGTATTTATGAATAACGATTTATAGTATCTGATATCCTACTTGATTGTAAGTAAATAATAAGATCATGGATCCTGTCATTTTTTAATTGACCAAACCGTCACACTTTCAAGGAAAGTGAAGATGGATGCATTTTCAGTTTCCTCAAAAAAAGTGATACCTACTGAGCTGAAATTTGGACAGGTTATTTTTTACTGGCCAGCTCCAGATATATAATGGTCCTTAAATTGGCAAAACAAATTCTTTGCCAATGGTGTCCAGTACCTTTAAATGAGGTTCACAGTAACCTTGTGTTTACTTCTTAACAAAAGCTCACCTGATCAAAGTTTCCTAGTCCTCCTATGATCAAGATGTGGCCGTCATCTTCAACAACCTGAAGAACAGAAATTGAAAGTCAACCGGTTATATCAACTGCATCATTATCTTCATTCATGAGACATCAGAAGTAACAATGAAACCTGCATGCTTGCCTGTTCTCAAAGAATTGCCAATTCTTCTTCAGAATAACTTAAGCTAATGCTATTGGAGCTCTTCTGACAAACATGCGGGCACTTTACTATCAGTAGTGAACCCACAGTCTAAGCAATATGTAAATGTATTACAACAATAACAGCAATTACAAACAATGTTTGTTTTACAGCTATTCAACCTGGTTCCTCCAATCAAGGTATTCGACAACGAAACTTGGCTTTCTGCCCGTTCACATCCATGTACTGTTGCTATACCTACAACAGGTAGATGTCTAAAGGATACTGCAATAGGTTTTTCCCAAGTGCTGCATGTCTTTGGAATTCCTTGCCTGGTACTTGCAATTGTTTCCATCTAACCTATGATCTGTCCTGTTTCAAGAGGAATGTGTACCTTCAGTTTCCCTGAGTATCTACCCCTCTTTTTATTTCTCTTGTAGCCCTGTACCTTGAGGGGCTTTAAACCTTGTTCAGGGCAAATATGCATAAAACGAGGTGGTTCTTGAACCGCGCGTCTCGCCTGCTTTCATGATTATCTTTAAACTATTGAGTGACATTGGACCTTGGTATATGTGACCTTTGACATCATTATCATGTGAAGGTTCCCATGTTGCATCTATGACTCAATTTTTAATCGGACTTCAACTTTTGAAATGAGACCAATTCCTTGACACTTTAACCAATCAAAATGCCATATATATGTATGTATGCAATATACATGCATACGTTCAGAGTGATTGCATAGTCTCTTTCCTGAACAAAGTCTAGGCGAGACAAAAAAACAAACTTGACAGACCTGTACATGCTTGTCACGTGGATGTGGCTTCTTTCCTTCTATCTCCATCCGACTCCACACCATGCTCTGAAGTGAAAACACCCACACATCATTTCCCCTGCAATTAACACAAAATTGATATTACTGATTGAGTGACAATGATCATCATGTGCATGTATGCATGTACATATCTCAAAAGTTTGGTTCTGAGAGGAAAACTATTTTGCACCTTTGTTTGGATGATCTTTGATATTAACAGAGTTGAAATCCAGCCACAAGGAGTAACCATGTTGACCCCAACCAGGGCAAAGGTGTATACTATATATTGGGAGGTTCCAACTACGGTGGAGACGATGCTATAGTTGACAGGTAACATATAAATGAACTTCTTCATGTTCATCTTAATGTTCATCCGTTTAAGACAAACTGACTGCTGTCATGTCAAGACAGACTCCATGACCCCCCAGGCATGGCGTGTCAAAACTACGTCATGTTCTTCAACGCTGTGACACAGGGGCGTGTCAAAACTACGTCATGTTCTTCAATGCTGTGACACAGGGGTGTGCCAAGTCGTGATTTGGGTTGTCAAACCATGTATACATTTGGAGTGTCACTACTCCCGACATAGTAGGTGTATAGATTCCACAAAAGGATGACTCACTGGTGCACAATGACACACCATTCCCTGGAGTCATGGGGTGGGTCGCAAACTTGATAGTTGCACACTGGCCTGCTGAAGCCGACGCTGAATGTTATATAAAGTAACTTACTTGTGTCTGCTTCCACTGCCGCCACCAAATATGATCATCAAATCGCCCATCATACTGGCTCCATGATTGGCTAGGGGAGGGGGTGATGTGCTAGTCACTACGCACTTCCAATGATTCTTGGCGATATCATAAATGTGAAGATCGTTGAAGACAGTCGGAGGTTGATGGGGAGGGTTGGGAACCGGAGGTGCATATCCACCAAATAAGATCAGAGAACCATTGTGATGGACCATCGAGGCAGCTGCCTTGGGGGAGGGATATTCACCTAATTATAAAAGAAAAAGAATTTGCATATATGTTTTACCATAACTAGGTCCCGATCGTATGACGTCAAAGTACCATGAGACCACCCGGTTTCCTTGTAATCAGCTACAATTGCAGTCATGGCAGTAGGCAAATTGTAAACCAGACAATAAGGCTTATACTCACATAAAATCACTGTGAATTCTTTATCAAATGGCATAATGGTCACTATCTGTGCAACGTACGGTTGTCATAATCGTGACGAAATGCGCGCATGCATGCATGCTACATGTACACTGTTTGTGGAGCATGACAACCATTAGTCAAGGCTGTGATTCGTCAAAGCACTATTTGTAGGAACTTAATGGAACAGTCTTTTCATCAGAGAGACAAAATTCACTAGTGGTGGGATGAATATCCAGATTTTTTAAATTTCAGTTTGAATTCCACTATTTGGTTTGGATTTTGGAAACCGATATTCGGAAACCAACCTTAACAAAATTAAGCCTTCCATTTTTCTGACACAGGCTAAAGAAAACAACTGGAACATCTCCCAATTAGCTCCATGGTCTCTGATGGTAATTACATTCACTTGCTAGTGGTCTCCTTGGTTCATGAATAGCTTGCCCATTCATCTGATCAGAGAACTTTGCAACCATTTTGTCACCATTACAGTTCTGGAGGGCATTGCATGTGGCATCTTAATCGCCACTTTTGTTGGCATGACTGTGAGCTGAATGGGAACTTCCAGTGAAATCGGATAACCGTTAGTCGAGTTTTGAAAAAAAAACTGAAGATAACCGGAATTTTAAAATCTCTGATTTCTCCCACCACTACAATTCACACCTGTTGGCATAAGACGTGTCCATCCTCTGTCTCCCAAATCCAATATTCGTAGATCACAGAAACACGTTCCACTTCCACTTCCACGGGCGGATGGTATCATTCCACCAAACATATACATGACACCCTCTACACAGCAAGCACTGTGAGATAAGCGGCCATCCACACAGTTTGCTGATTGTTGTTCTGTGTGAGACCACCTCAGAGATCCTGATCTAGCAGCCAAATGGAAAGCCTGCAGTCTCCTCTTGACGACACCTGCAAAAAATAAATATAGGTTTGCAAACTTTAGTTTTACTATAGCAAAGGTATAATTGCACCTGTATCATTTATGAATAAAAAAATAGCCTTACAAAGAATGAATGTTTCCATCTTATTCTTCATAATCATAATTCATATTAAATTTATTTTATACTTACAAAAATACTGCAAGTGAGACTTGCACAAGCCCCTGGCATACTGGCAGTTTTTATACAGTCAGTAAGTACGGATTCTTGTCAGTGTCCCAAATCAAAATGGAAGATTTCCATTGTTTTAGCAATAGTGACCTTGACCTTTGACCTGTTGACCCCAAAAGCTATAGGCTTGATAAGACTACCATGAGCAACCCACAAACCAAATTTCAAGTTCCCCAGTAAAGTATTTCTCAACTTAGCACGTTGACAAGAATTCTGTTGTTTTAGCAATATAGTGACCTTGACCTTCGACCTGTCGGCCCAAAAGCAAAAGGCTTGATTTCGCTCGAACCCCCCGCCCTGCAAACAGGGCGCTGGGAAGGGCAGATGAGCTTCACAGAATCTTGTGAAGGAAGTGGGGATGGCATTCTGGGTAATGACCTACCATGCCTACATGTACATGATGTATGCATAAAGAATCTGGCTGCAGCTGTAGACCGCGCATTTAGCCAATGCGCGCAAATACTATCCGAAAAGTTTGTCATAGAAATGCATACAAACCATACCGGAAATGATTTGTTTTTCATTGCGGACCATGTGGACAACGTTTGAGCATCGAATGATATGCTTTTCGACCCTTCGTGAATTCCAAATGAACTCAGTTTAATTAATTACGCACGTAATTCCCACGCAATCTTAAGAATGAGCGATGTGCGCTCGTTCTTACATGTCTACTCTTAAGAATGCGCGTTCAACGTTCATTGCAAGAAATCGCACAACAGCCATGACAGCACTACGCTGCCGCATACCTTGCATCAAGCGACGCCACTTCCTCGACACGAGCGATGCATTTTTGCAGTCACTGTAAGGCGAAAGATATGACATTATTCTCTCTAATATCTCCTCCGGCAGATCTTGTATTCGTACACAGTGACATGATTCACGTATATATGCCATTACACAGTCAAAATTGTGTTGTGAAGTTGACTTATATTTTGCTGGAGAGAGTGGAGGGGGAGGCTGTTTTTAAATTTTAGCCATTTGTGAGTTTGTGACACACTGCATGGCTAGGCGCTCTGTTTCGTGAGGCCGCTGCAGGCCAGCTAGAAGCCACGATAGCTTTGGCGAAAGGCTATGACCATGCACGCCAGGCCAGGAAAACCTTTTTGAATAGAAATCTTCTTTGATATTCCTAAGATAAAACCATTTGAATTAGGGAACAATATATTATTTCACCTATTTGTAGGCATGTGAATTAATAATTTTTTCAGCAATTATTTAATAATGACTTTTCATTTTCAATAAAAAGGCCTACCAATAGAATAATGTTGGAAAGAGCCTGTCATGTCAGCTTCCATGAGGCCATTAAATGTTTAGCTTGCCTTTGAGTTTCGGTTAGTTTGGGTATACATGTACATGTACCTCTATATAATTGTGCCATAACATAAATTATTGTATTACCATGGCTTCAGATCAGTACTATGATCTGTCTGGTAGCCAGTTCGATTCCAGTTGGTTTAAAACTGCTGCGGGTAAGGAGTATTTTTCTAGCATTGTCCGGAAAGGGAAAAGAAGAATATACGGTAAGTCAAATTCGAATAGGCGAGGCCCTATCGAAACAATAGTTACAAAGTCCAAGAATGTCAACCTTAAATGTGGCCAATGAACTTGACTACTTCGGTAAATATAAGGGCCACTCTTCGAACAGGTACCCGAAAATGTTAAACTTTTGTTAATTTTTCATTTTTACATATTTAGGCCTAAGTATGACATGTATGAAGTAGACTTTGCCAGTTTGCTGTTTGTAGTTTATTTATGTTTTAGAAGCACACTCGCTCTCTTTATAGTGATAGAAAAGAAGTCTGGCCTTTCTTGGAGGTCTATTTGTCACTATTGTCTTTTTGTCTATTTGTAATTTCCAGGTTCGTTTGCACATGTTTGTATATCTAAATTTCAACATCGAAAAAATCACAGTCACGTAGACTCGAGTCTGCACTGGTAAGCAGAACACGAAAAAAGACCATGCGAGTGGGGCGCATGATGTAGGTGCCAACGGGCTCCGGCACTTGCATGGTCTTTTTTCGTGTCTGGGTTTATACCACTTGCACCTGGACTCAAGTCTAGGTGACTGACAGCAGTTTTTGACAGCAGAAATGATCCGGTGTAGGGTGAATATCCAACTCCGTGAAATATGGACTCATTGGTAGTATTGATTATTGCGCATGCGTAAGTACAGTAATATGCTATTTTTAGAATCACATACAGGAGAGTGACCTGTCACGTGTGAGGGATTAACCAATAATAGGGAAGAGGAGTCGGATTTTCATAGGAGTCGGATTTTCATATGACACCGGCACGTGCATGATTTTTCAATGTTGGAATTTAGATACATAAATGTGTGTAAACTTGAATATAACCATCAACTTATCGTTGCAGATTTTTAATTGCAACTGTTTTTATTTAGGTTTGCTGGAAAGACCATCTCTTCCACCCCATTTAATTCCTGAACTCATCTCCTACAAAGTATTTCTCAGTGGTAAGGCTGGAGTTGGCAAAACAAGTACTGTGGCTAAGCTTGTAGGACTCCCAGTTCCCACAACACACAGTGAAACCCCAGGTAAATACATTTTGGAGTTTGTTTAAGACCAAGTTAAAAAATAAAAGCTAGTACATGTATCTCATCGCTGCTTGCGACCTTTTTCCCACCTGCCTCTTTTTTAGGTTTTTTTTTTTGTAATCACACTTTGCAACATAGTTATCTTTCATTATTTGTTTCTAGCAAAGTTTTAGCTATGTGTGCAAGTTCAAAATCGGAGAAAGAACTACATGTAGTAATGATAAATAATTTTTCATTTTGTCAATGTGTAGGAATTGTGACATATGTTGTGTACTGGCCTGTCAAACTGCTGCACTCTGACAAGGTGTTGCTCTTTCGTCTTCAGTTCTGGGATGCAGGAGAGAATGCTATCAGGAAATTTGAACACATTCTACCAGTAAGTACAAACTGCTATGTCTTCATTTTCTTCTGTCTGAGTTGAAAAATGTTACTTGTCAATGTTTAACAATTTCATATTTTTTTCAAATTTGATTCTCTTGATTACACATTGTCTATACCCAGGCTTGCAAGAGTGGAGCGGATGCCATTCTCAATCTCTTCTCCTTCACGGATAGATTGAGTTTTGAAGATCTTCAATCTCAGATGTCCCGCTCATCTCAGTCAGGGGAACATGTCATCCGCATGGTGGTTGGAACCAAGTATGATCTATATAGCAACAGTGAAATAACCACAAGAGAACTCCAGAATTTTCAAGAGCAGTGGAAAGTTCCAATCCTGAAAATCAAGAACAGTGGCAAGCCTGCTGGTAATGAGCTTCTATACTCTGTGGACAGCATGCAAGAGGTCCATGACGTCGCCACTGTGATGCACAGTCTTTTAGAGTACATTTGGATCCAGAAGAAGATATCTTCTGGAGAGCTAAGACCAGAAGACCTGATTACAAGGACAGATATTGATGGGAAGAATGAGGGGGAATTATCGGATGAACTGGAAGCTTCTTATGTCTAATTCATAGTTCACACCCTACACAGATACATTGCATTTTAAGTGTCTCTACTAAATGCATTCATCATTCATTTGCTCAATTATTGGAGGAACAAAGTTTTCCATCAAGATATAGAAGCTTTAAACAGCAGCAACATGTGAATAGAAAGCTATGACCTTGTAACTTGCCATATTGGATGAATTAAAGTTTGCATGGGTAGCATCATAGCATGTTCATGTGGGGTTTTTTTTGAGTAAGAATTGAATTTTTTTTAATAATTTTTTTTACGTGGCTTGCAACTTAAAACAGTCTTCATTATAACGTTGATGGTTTTGTTTTAATTTAATAGATAAATAAAAAGACCAAGAAATGTAGCGGACTGCAAAAGTTAAAGTTTCAAGCATTTCAAAGACTTGTTTAAAAATTAGAAACCCTCACATTGCCTTGTATTTTTATTTTGGGGAGAGGTGGGGTAAGACTTTATTATTCCGCTCGCTCATAGACATAAATTCCGCCGTAAAAGTTGTATAGCGCCCTCTGATTTCTGCACCGATCACGCATTTCGCTCATACCGTATGCACCTACCCGTTTGCAGGGCGGATTTACCCAGCACGATAGGTCCATGATTAGACAAAGGCCCCCCCCCCCCCCACCCCAATATCCCAATACCCTATGCAAACCCTAAACTATTGTTACCTAACCCAGCACACCCAGGTTTACGTTACATACCTGCACCTTGTGTGGACTTTCCATTGCTTTCGTGTAGTTGAGAAAAACCAGTGAACTTGAAAACTCATTTTTCTCAAACTGTGAAAACTCTTTCAACCCAATTTTTTTCTATGATTTTCTTTAGTGTTTCTCTTCATTCTGTCGCCGATAAACCTACCCCAAAAATGCCTCTTAACCTGTTTTCCAGAAATGGGGAAACATTGTGTGGACGTGGGCAAGTCCACACAACGTCGGACTGGCCCGCCTCTCGGCCCCTCGCTCGGTCGCGGTGCGGACACCGGCGGCCCTCGGCCCCGGGTGGACCGGGGACTGCTCCCTTGGGCGGGGCCCCGGTCCGAAACCGTGGGTGGGGTGGATAACTAAAGCCGACCGGCCAGGCCACGGCGGATTCCCCGGGAGCGCCCCGGACCCGGGCGCGAAGCCGCGCCGGGCCGCCTGCGACCGGGGCGGGAGAGAGCGGGACGCGTCGGGACGCCCGTCCGGTTCGCCACTTTGACACGTCGGAATTTCAACGTCGCTGCAACCTGGTTCATGTGGACCTCTTTTGTTCGGAAGTCCACACAGCGTATGTAAATGCTTGTACACAAAAGGGGGTGTGGGCGGGGCACGAGCGAAATCGCGTATCCATGATCGATCCGTAAAATATATTTAGCGCCCTCTGTTGATGCAATGAGACTGTGAACGCGTTCCCCCCCCCCCCCCCCCCTCCAACTTCGGTCGTGTTTCCTGTTCATTTCGTTAAAAAAAAATGTATTTTCAATATAAAGAGTCTGGTGTCTGTCAATTCCGAACTTTTCCCTTCACGTCCAGACGTCAAGTCTTGATCCTGTGTTTTAACAGGTCACGCAGGTTGGTACTCATGGTAGCAAAAAGTGTCTCAACTTTTTATTACTATTAGTATTACTAGTAGTACTGTCACGCCCCAACTATCGCATCGGTCCCAACTATAGTGCGGCAGTTGGGTCAGCCCAACTATAGTTAGGACTGGAGTTGCGCCGGATGCTTCATGCTTGATAGATCTTGTTGGATTAAATGTTCCGCGACGCTGGCACCGTGTATTCGTCGTGCATGCATGCCGCAAGGCTGGCCGGTCACGTGGTACTGCCTAGTTGGATGAGTTGTGCAGCTGCTGGGTTGATTGTCCAGCAACATTTTGCAAAATTCAAAGATTGCCATTGTATTGTATGCGTAAATTTGCCTGAATTAAGTTGTTATCAAAAATCAAGGCCAGGGAAAGAATGTTGCATCCTGACGCCACTTCACTTTAGCGCTGTGTTCAACGGTGTGATGACTGTACAAACGTACAAACATGATTGATGATGTCAGATGAAATCCTTCCATGGTCATGATAAGATGGCTTGAGTAATATAACTCCAGCTGCTACATGTGAATGAATATGAGCATGTCAGCTTGAGTTACTCAAGCTAGGTCATGATGGTATAAAAGTCGATGACGAAGTCAAATTACATTGTTACCATTGGCGTACTACATGGAAGGCATGGTCGGGGATAGCTCCACTAGTGTGGCCGTCGGTATGCTGCGCTGAACCTAAGGCCACACACCGTGGTCCGTGCACTACTGAGGACGTTTTCATAAAATTTGCAGGAAATTTCTTACATATGGTTGTATTCTACGATGTCCCATCTATCACTTCTGGGTAGCCCCACTAGTGTGGCCGTCAGTATGCTGCGCTGAACCTTTGGTTCAGCGCAGCATACCGACGGCCACACTAGTGGGGCTAACTTCTGGGATGCTTAGGTGTAATGATGTTCAATTTTCCGAGATATTCTTGAATCTTTCTGGAGCCCATATGCACTCGTGAAACGTCCGGTGATGGCAGCCATTTTGAATGTGACAAGAGATGACCTCAAGCTGTGACGTCGCGTTTATGCAAATTGCTTGTCGAGCAAGGGCGCAAGTTGCAAATGCGACGGCTGTTTCCTGTACCATGCATTTATGGTCTGGGGGCCACGTGCACTTAGCCCGACTGCGTCTGGCCGTACAGTACTATCGCAAGCTCTGTAGTACAGAGCTTGCGATAGTACTGTACGGCCAGACGCAGTCGGGCTAACGTGCACTGATCTCTATTCAGGTTCTACGGCACAGGAAACAGCCGTCGCATTTGCAACTTGCGCCCTTGCTCGACAAGCAATTTGCATAAACGCGACGTCACAGCTTGAGGTCATCTCTTGTCACATTCAAAATGGCTGCCATCACCGGACGTTTCACGAGTGCATATGGGCTCCAGAAAGATTCAAGAATATCTCGGAAAATTGAACATCATTACACCTAAGCATCCCAGAAGTGATAAATGGGACATCGTAGAATACAACCATATGTAAGAAATTCCCTGCAAAATTTATGAAAACGTCCTCAGTAGTGCGCGGACCACGGTGTGTGGCCTTAGGTTCAGCGCAGCATACCGACGGCCACACTAGTGGGGCTAGGTCGGGGATTGTCACTTACATTTTGCCCGAGGGGTGGGGATTTTGTCACTTGAAAAGTGACAATCCCCACGTCTTGGGTGGGGCAGCCGGGGGGGGGGGGGAACAATTGATGGGCACATTATTTAGATGATATATGATGATATATGATGAAGAACAAAGTGGCATCAGGTTGCAACATTCTTTTCTTAATAAGTTAACGGTTAGCCCGACTGCGTCTGGCCGTACAGTACTATCGCAAGCTCTGTAGTACGGCCAGACGCCCGATGCTTCCACAGAGACTGAATTTTGTTGGCCGCCGATGTAGTGATTTTGCTACATCTTTCGATCGCGATTATCTTTTCATCCAGGACACAAATTTCCAAAGTTAAGGTTCGTAGTCGTAGAACAACTCATACCTTTTCGAAAAAAACGTTGTTTGGTCTCAATATTTTCATCCATCTGGCCACAAGACAAATTTCAGTCATCAGATTCCACAAATATCGTCCCCCATGCGATCCCCCATTTTGGACGTGCGTGCGGCGCCGGCGGGGCCGTACTTCCAAAAACACGAGGTATACGTCACAGACTGTTTATGCATATTCATGAGTTCGCGCGGGCGCGCCTGCATATTGCATACATAACAGCGCGGCCGCCATTTTGAAATCGCATGGGGGATCGCATGGGGGACGATATTTGTGGAATCTGATGACTGAAATTCGTCTTGTGGCCAGATGGATGAAAATATTGAGACCAAACAACGTTTTTTCGAAAAGGTATGAGTTGTTCTACGACTACGAACCTTAACTTTGGAAATTTGTGTCCTGGATGAAAAGATAATCGCGATCGAAAGATGTAGCAAAATCGCTACATCGGCGGCCAACAAAATTCAGTCTCTGTGGAAGCATCGGGCGTCTGGCCGTACTACAGAGCTTGCGATAGTACTGTACGGCCAGACGCAGTCGGGCTAGTTAACGGTATACAAACAAGAACAGATTTTTTGATAATCGTGTAGTTTAGGACTCCATCCCACATAAAAAAAAGAGAATGAAAAGAAACTTTTTTGTTTGATACTGCTGATATCATGGAACTAGTTCTAGAATTAGAAGGCACCCCCGTGTGCCTTCAAATCAAATTTAGATTTTCACACGTAAACTAGTTTATTTACGCTTAAAGGGAATATACATCATTTGCTTTTGCTGTAATTTTCAGAAATGGATGGAATGGGGGGGGGGGTTGGAAATATATAGCAAATATAGTTACACTTACTTTTTTGAGGTTTTGGGTTCGAAAATGCTATAAAAACCAAGAAAAACAATCATTTTCCTGTAGTCTGGTTCCCTGACTCCTTATAAGAAGAAACAGAGCAGTTAACATACATTTGAGAATTGTAAGGTCAGGGAACCAGTCTAGCTGGCTTGTACCTGTTCATAGGTGTGTAAATCGATTGCAAACAAGTGCGATGGTCAATTGGGGCCAGTATTTGAAAAAAAGCCAGTTTTTTCCAACGCTGGTCGGCTGACCAGCGTTGAAAATTGATACAAAAAATACCACTTTTCTTGAAAACGACAGTATACCAGGTGCCATGATTTTACAGGATGCTTTACACTGTCATTCACTCGCATTCCAGCAAGGTATTTCAAAATGATTTGGTAGTTTTATTTTTGGATGTTTGCAAATGTTGTATTTTCCCTTTAAGAAACACACTCACCCTCATAATAGCGATGGAAAAGAAGTCCCACCTTTCTCGGATGTCTGTTTTTTGTGTAATTTCCAGTTGTTTGTTTATTTTTTTTTCTACAGTTGATAGTTATTCTACCTTTTCACTTCGTCTGGTTGTCTTGAGAAACTTTTGGTAATGGCGTCCATAAGGGCTACGAAAATGTCTTTCAAGAACATCCACCGAAGTATGGCTGGGCATCTTAGGCCTTCCAACTCTGCAGTGCAGTGTCTTCCTTTACATAACAACAAAACTGTATCTACGTACATGTACATTGGGACCTTAGCCTCCAATGCACGACAAATAAACCACGGCTCGATCCAAGCTGTCTACACATTTTGTGATTACCAGAAGATCTCACATTGTCAACAGTTGTCATGGAGACATCTTGCTACATCTTCTGCTGCTCATCAGACCGCAAGAGAAGTGCCTCTTACCTCCACATCACATCCGACACTTGAACGCGGTCCTTTCTCAAGAGTTACTGATGATAATGTCGCATTCTTTCAGGAACTTCTACCACAGAGAGTAATCACGGATGAAGATGACCTCATCTCATCTAATACTGATTGGCTCGGGTCATTAAGAGGTATCAAAGTTTTACTCCTGAATTAAGAATCATAATTAAAGGCAAATTATGAAAAAGCTTTAATACTTGGATTAACACTTTTATGCAAACATATATTCTGGGCCAAGTTGTCCTTGTAGTCAAAATCAATCAAGTGACTATTTTCAACAGCTAACCATTCCCAGCCCACATAAAGCATGATTGACTGGCTGGGACTGCTTTAAAGTAAATTGATGCAGCTATGCTTTTACTCGGGTCGAGTGATAAAACAGCTGTGACCACAACTTGCCTACTTTGTCTCCAGTGCTCGTTAGGAATTCGACATCTTACACTGGAGGTCAATGTACGTTCTATCCAGTGGTAAAAAAAATGGGTTGAGTCAAGCAGATGATCTAGCAGGTTTTTTGATTCTTGATTTTTCGATTTTCCTCTGGTCACCCTGACTGACACTGGTCTATGTGATACGCATGAACAGATTCGCTGATTAATTAGGCAAGACCCCGCTTCTTGACTTCCTAGATTTCGACCAATCAGCGGGCGCTTTCTATATCGGGTCTTCGGTCATTCACCCGTTGCGAGTCATAGACAATGGATCACAATAAATATGTCACGCGCTCTGTATCATGTTACACAATATCGCGCCCGGCTGTTGTTGAATTACAAAACACTGCATCCGAATTGACCAATCAAACCATTTAGTCCTGATTTAGGAATGGAATGACGTCACAATTGAGTAAAGTCGACTCCGATTAGCTGGCGCGTGGGATGCATATACATTGTATATACATTGTATAATTGTGTCTAGATATATCAGACGTTATACAGGAGATTTGCTCCGTGGATAACGGGTGATATTCGAGCTAGACTGACACATGAGCATACATTCTTGTTTTACTATACTCCCGATGACAATGCTTTGTGTTTCTCTTTGTCCTTGTAATATAACACTCTCCCATAGACTATGCACACAAACTTACTACAGAGGACCGTTTCCAAAAAATGACCTAACTCCTGAGGACTGAAAGGATCTGTTCTCCGTTTGTGTGTTGGTCCTCGGGGGTTATGTAGAACAACCACCAAAACACAGCCATGACAGCGGAACCCAGACGGTTTTTCTTAAGAAGCCACAGAAATCATCAGTATTTTTCATATTTTAGTCACTGCTGTTCTGTTTCAAGTCGATTATTAGCTTTGTGAATGACTGCTTCATGGTATGGGGTATATTTAATCTCAACTGGGTTTGAATTATAGGGAAAACGGACCATTTTTATGGAGTCCGATTTTTTAGGGACTCTGCCATTTTTTACCGCTGGATAGAACGTACATTTACCTCCAGTGTTAAATGTCAAATTCGTGATGAGCATGGAAGTGAATTTTGACTGTCTGTGACTGCTTAAATAGCAGGAGGGTTAAAGATTGTACTGGTTCTAAACATTTTCTCATTTCCAGGTGCAAGTCAAGTTCTACTAAGACCAAAGACTACTGCTGAAGTCTCTAAGATCATGGCATATTGTCACGCTCATAACCTGGCTGTAGTTCCTCAGGGAGGCAACACGGGTCTAGTAGGAGGAAGCGTACCTGTCTTCGACGAGGTCATATTGTCAACATCTCTCATGAATAACATTGTAGAGTTTGATGAACTGTCAGGTTTGCGGTCATTTGATAATTCTTTTGCATGTTGTTGTTCAAGAACATTTTATTTACTTGTTTATGTAAATGCACATGTGTATGTATGGGCTCCGTGTGCAAGCAAGAGAGGTTTTTTTTACCACTTTCGAGAGCCCTATGGTAATGGAACACACTGCTTGCGCAGACAGGTTTGCACGTGTTATGCTTGAAGTACACACGACTTATTTTTTTCTGAATGTGTATAAGCCATAGCAGTTTGAGCATTGGGCGTCAAAGGGAATGCATATAATAATCTCTGCCAGTGGTCTACTCCAACTGTCCTTACTGTTGAGGGGGTACTTGTTCACAGACCCCATAAAGTACCTGCACATTGTTTTGTTAATATTGATATCTATAGTAATACTTACAGATTTGGGGGAAACTGTTGTCAAGAAGAATGCTACATTCGTTGCAGTCAAGACATGTTTCATAATGTCATTTGGACAGGTGTTCTAGTGTGTCAGGCAGGTTGTATCCTGGAGAAACTTGATAATTATCTAGCAGAGTACGGCTACACAATGCCACTTGATCTTGGAGCTAAAGGAAGTTGTCACATTGGAGGCAATGTGTCTACCAACGCAGGAGGAATCAGATTACTGCGTTATGGCAGCCTACGGGGAACAGTACTAGGGATTGAAGCAGTAAGTGTATTTTGCTTCCATTCCATCATGTATTACCATGCCTCATACATATTCATACCTTATACATATTCATGATAAAGCGATGCATTCTCACTGATCCATTCACCATCAAGTGTCAGCCGCTAGTACATGTAATGCACATGAAGTTTCACACACAGGTTCTATACGCATGCGTAGTAGACTATCGTTACCTGTGCACTAGTCTGAACATTGCCCTAGCTACATGAGTGGCTAATCATCTTTACTCGCAGCTGGTATGCTGAATTTGAAGGACGCGGCTACAACGTGGTCGGGCCGCTGGCACGTAAAGGTGCCTATGGCTGCCGGCCACATCGACCCATATATGATCACGGAGCACAGCCTGAGATCGAAAGTGTTTGATTTTTCCTCCGGGAGGAAAACCGGAGGGCCCGGAAAAAAACCCTTGTGGCACAGGAGAGAACCAATGCACAACTCTACTCACATGTGATCTGCGGCCAGGATTCAAACCATGGTCACCTTGGTGAGAGGCGAGCGCTTTACGCACAAGCCACCCATGGCACGCACTCCATATGAAAGCACACATGTACATGTTAGCAAACTGTGACATTATTGCATTTCAGTCCTGCATGTTTCTGTCTTTGTTTGCATAAGGTACTTGCAGATGGACGTGTCATTGATTGTCTTTCTTCACTACGTAAGGACAACACTGGTTATGATCTCAAGCAGATGTTTATTGGTTCTGAAGGAACACTTGGAGTTGTGACTGGAGTGTCTATTCTGTGTCCTCCTCGGCCTCAGTCTGTAAATGTTGCATTCTTTGGTAGGTGTATTTATAGACCTATCAAAGTATAAACCTACCACAGTTATGTGAGGACTCCTTTGGAAAGCAGGATTTTTTTAGCTGACATGGACTACCCTCATTAAAGATTACAATAAGATTAAGAAAATAGAAATTTCATTGTAATAGGTAGCAAGTGACCATCCGGTTTCCCCATAATTGGCCACTATTGCAGTAGGCGTATGATTAGGCCAAAATTAATAGTTCTGCTTCCGGTTACCCTACCTACCCTATTTTGACAGCCCCTTTCCTAATGTTTTTGGAAAACCATCAATTACTACCTTTTGCCCTTGACTATACGCACCCACGTCCTGCATTGTAAACTAGAGAGTAGGGCTACTTACTTTGTATTCTTGATCAAATGGCATATCATAATTGTGCCGACCCAGCACTGGGTTTTGGCTCAATGTTTTTCTTACAAGTTTTGCCATCCATCTCAGCTTTGAAGGATTTTTTACTACCTACTTTGCACGGTGCTATATGATCTTTTCCTTCCACAGTGTCAACTCTAACTTTCCAGTACCCATAGAAAGGATGAGTAAATTTGCGTTATAACAAAAGATCGTCATACATAGCATTTCACCTCCTTAAATTTGTACTTTGCTGAAATGCAACTACAGTCGAACACCTTTATAACAAGGTCCTTATGACTTTATGAATTACCTTGTTATAACATAACTTGTATTAACAGTAATGGAAAACAAAGAAAAACAAAGACTCTGGACCTTAAAATTTTCTTTTAAGCAGTACCTTGTATTAACAGTTTGATTGTACATGAATATGTAGAAAGACTTCATAGTAAATCTGTGGTTTCTCTACTTTTCTTTGCAGGTTGTGACAGTTTTTCTAAAGTCCTTGCTACATATAAGGAAAGCAAGTCCCATTTGGTTGAGATCTTGTCTGCATTTGAGATCATGGATCAAGAAGCTCTCATGGTAAGAAATGAAGACTTTATTTCCAAAATGGAAATATGTATTTGAAAAAAAGGGAAATAATAGTCAAAACACATTTGGATGTCATAAACAGAGAAAGCCCTAGAAAACAAAGCTGAAGTATTGCGATATCTCAGCCACTACTCATTTAGATATCTCAGCCACTACTCATTTAGATATCTCAGCCACTACTCATTTAGATATCTCAACCACTACTCATTTAGATATCTCAGCCACTACTCATTTAGATATCTCAGCCACTACTCATTTAGATATCTCAACCACTACTCATTTAGATATCTCAGCCACTACTCATTTAGACTGGGCTTTCTTTTGCACAGTATGTCACCAAGTATCTGGAGCTTAGAAACCCACTCAGCAAGGAGTACCCATTCTACATTCTAGTGGAGACTTCAGGGTCAGACGGAAATCACGACGAGGAGAAACTGAATCGATTCCTTGAACACATCATGGCAACGGAACTGGTGTTGGATGGAACGGTTGCTACAGATTCAGCAAAAATTCAGGTAAATATTCCTTGACATCCTTTGAGTGAGTTACGTGAGTTCAGAAAGTATGCTGTAAACTAAATGGAATCCCAACTGGGGGAGGGATGCAATCAATGCGAAAGGTTTGCTCTTGCATACCCAGCTAATTCAATGTATTGTACATACATGTAGGCCTATATGGTTTCATGCAGCCGGTGGTTCCACTTTGACCCCCCCCCCTCCTTAAATTCCCCCTTAAGAATATACCCAAACTAAAACAATTCCTTTATATATTAGCCTTCATATTTTACACACAATACTATTCAATCACACACGATCCAAAAATAATAACCAACAAATTAATGGTTGTTCTCAGAAAAAGTCCAAACTGAAATTTTGCATTGATGAACAGTAAACAAATGAATACAGAAAACAAACAAATATTAACTTATCATAATATTTTAAAGCTGAATTCCAAGATTGAAAATTTTAGGCCCCTTTTAATATTTCTAGAAGATGAAAGCAATACTTGTATCTCATGTACGTTGGATAACTTGCTAAATGTGCAACTATATCCAGGGGTGAATGCTGTCGGGATTGTTCCTTATGTCAGCAATTTTTGTTGGGATATGAAGAAAACTCCTTTCGAAACTGGAATTCCGGAGATTTTACCATGAAGGTGTTTTAACCTAAGACTTTTTGAAAATAGAACTAAAGAAATGTGTATTTTAAGGGGTGCCTAGAAGCAAATACTAACTTATCATACCCTATGTTGCCTTAGGGCCCTTGAAAGCCCCAAATTAAAGCCTCTGCCGATTATTTGGTGGATTTTTCATTTTCTCCCATTCTCACCCCTGCTCTGTATCTACTCATTGTAGATGATATGGGCCTTGCGAGAGAGAGTCAATGAGTCCATTCAACGCACCAAAGTACAATACAAGTATGACCTGAGTATCCCTCACCGTGTCTATTATGATATTGTTCCTGAGATCCGTGAGCATCTTCGCACCCACCACTCCCATTTACCAGTCTGTGATGTCGTTGGCTATGGCCATGTCGGCGACGGCAATATCCACATCAATGTAGTTGTCGAGGAATTCTCTGAGGAAATCAAACAGGCACTAGAGCCTTTCATCTTTGAGAAGACGTCCAATCTAAAGGGAAGTGTTAGTTCGGAACATGGACTGGGTTTTAATAAGAGGAACTATATCGGGTACACTAAGACAAATGAGGCTGTGCTGGTTATGCAACAGATGAAGCGATTGTTTGACCCCAAAGGAATCTTGAATCCTTACAAGACAATTCCATCCGTCCCAGGTGTAACAACGTCATAGTTCGTTGACAATGTGAGTTATGCGGTCAGTGACCTATATAGGTCATGTCAAAAAGGGAACTTACAACTCATTGTCTTAAGTGATGTCTATGTTATGAAGGCATTCTTACTATCATTGAGCTTTTGTCTGTGAATTGAAAGCAGCAATATGATTACTAAAAATGAAAGAGAATGTGTGAGTAAACAACATGACTTGGTCTAATGAAGAGCAATCATATTCATGACAGTAATACAAACCGTGAAAGTATATATTTTCATTTTGATCAATTTAAAACACCTCATAAAAAACTTTACTAGTCAAAAACAATCAAAATGAATCAAGCATATGATTCTTTCAATGTACAATGAGGTCATATTTTGATTCTAATCCGTGTGAATCTATGGTCGTTTGTCTAAAACTGTTGAGCATTCTTTGAAAGTTAATACTACCTTCAATAGTTCTTGTGCACAATCGCCACTTGGCATGTGACAAAGAAGTGCTTTAAACTAATTGCACATACAACTTGCTGGACACCACATCCAATAAAGAATCATACCTATCGAGGCTACATAGAAAGTATTGAAAAAGTATGTTTATGACGTTTGTCCAATTGAAAACTGTCCAAAAATACAATTTTTTTATGTGCAAAGTAAATGTAATGTACAAAAATGTATCATAAAATTATATGAGATTTTTAAAATAGCAATATGAAGAAATTATTATGCTCTGAAGGGCGAGTTGGATTTTTCAGAGAAATTTGTACACTATTTTTTTTTTTTTGGAGAATCAGGCCTAGGTAGTAATAAACAGGAACAAAGCAAACAGATTTTCAGTTGAAAAAGGATTCTTTCTTGTGATATTAAGTCTGCTATCAAAAGGCTGAATTCTAATTAAAATCAGACCTTATGATTATTATAAATCATGGGTTGATAAAATATGAAAACATTTGAAATTTCTCAATTTGTGTATCCAAAGTAAAATTATATCAGTTGAAATAATTTCACAAGATAATAATAACAATAATAATTTGGGAGGCTAATCATCCTTACTTGCTGCTGAGAAGCTGAATTGCAAAGGACGCGGAGGCAACATGGTCGAGCCGCAGGCATGTAAAGGCGCATTTGGCAGCCACTACACGACTCATGTATGACCATGGAGCACAGCCAGAGATCGAAAGTGTTTGATTTTTAGGGGGAGGGAGGAAAACTAAAGGGCCTGGAGAAAAAAAACTAAGGTTAAGGGTTTTTTCTCAATAATTTGATGCTCTAAGTTCTTAATTTTTGGTTTTGTGAAATGTTTAAAATCAAATTTCATTGAAATAATGACGGACAAAATAAAATCAAATTCCAAACTGCTTCGTTGTGAGGTTTGTACATACTCTGTGATGTGGCTGTACATTGTAGTTCATCGTGAAGAAACATATGAGGTTGAGATTGAAACAGGAAAAAATTTCACAAATGTTTTTAATATCCAATATTACATCGAATACAACTTGCTACTGCTGTGTCTTACTATAAAAACCAAAACGTTACATTTTGTTTATTTACATCTTTCAAATCATATTTACATATTTTTGATACATTTTTATGGATATGAGTCCTAGTGCAATAAAATCAATCGATAATGAACGGTTGGTTTAACAATGCCCGTAGATGGTAATATTAACAGGTACCAAAACGTTTTTAAATTATCTCGCAAATAGAGCCATGTGTGAAATTTAAAAACAGTCAATGCCTTGAAAATGAGGAAATGTGTGAATTATTTTGTAATGCATTACAGCATACAAACTCACATTTGTGAAATGAAAAGAACTATCTGTTAAATAAAATGCAACGAATGTAATCGTTACATTTCATTTGACAGATACATGTAGTTCTTTTTATTTCTCAAATTTGAATTTGTAGAATGAAAATATGAAAAGCATCTTGAAAATACAGTATTGATTGAGTGTGCATTTTAGTCACATTTCTCACAATGTTTAGCGTCGTTATTTACAATGTAGATGTTGATGCACCATTTGTAGATACCAAAAAATCCAACATGTTATTAGAAGTATCTAGGCGCTAAAAATAAACAAGCAAACAACAGGTCACAAGTCATGTAACTCTGCAATTACAAGATGGTTTTATTTACATATCTTATACACTTCGACTGATCTTTCTTGACTTTCTCCAGACCAGTTTTGCCCATAAAAACCTACTCTTTAAAGGCACGTACGATCATTTGCATTTATCTTCAAAGTAACTGACCGAATTATTATCAAAAATTGACACGGATTAAAGATTGTACAAGTAGTGTCGCTAAAACACCTGTTGACATCGTTCCGTCTGGCTTGCTGTCGTTTAGAAGAAATCAAGAAATTCAGGTGGTTTTCAATTATCAGTCAGTTGATTCATATTTGGAATAAAGAGCTCTATTGGCGAAATCGGTCGTGTTCCGTGATCAAAACATTGTGCATGGCTTTCACAGTTTTTTGAAAACTGTAATATCCACTCAGCTGAAACTTGCGGGTTAGGTTTGATTTTTAGTGCTGTTTTTAATGGATACGAACAAAATGCATGCAGAGCAAATTGTATGTCTGATTACATCATATCTTTGCGGCGATGTGCAGTCACAGGTTGATGAATCCATCGAAGCCACTTGCAACTGAACCTGTACAACTCTGACATTCACATTCCTGAACCAACTCCACAAGTTTGTCCACTTTCTGTGAGGTGCTATCCATAACACAATCCAGCGGTATCTGCAAACAAAGCACGGTTGCTTTCAGATCAAGTTGCGACTTGCTAATCGGCGGGTAAAAAAGTAGCCAAAAAGGCTTTCGAAATCAAGAATTCGTACTACACTGCGAACAGATGATCTTCATCAAAGATGAATTATTTTTATTTCACTTAAAAGGTGGAGTTTAAAGAGAAAGGAATACATATATACACTGCAATGAAATAAAGAGGGCGTCCTTCAAGGAAAATGGACATATAACTTCTTTAGGCGTTGCCTTTTGAAGCTACCTGCAGATTTCCTTATCATACTTTAAAACTGTGTGGCTTTTTGTTTGTTTCAGCCGATGTGGTCACCGTATTATCGTTTTTTAATTTCCATTCTTGATTTACCTTTTGCCACGTAGCCCTTGATGGTTTGCAGCAGCTGCAATATTGGAGCTGTGAGTTAGTCTCTGTTGGCATAGTGCGGGGAACACTGTAGCTGTAACACTGACCAAGGCATACCTGTATGGAAACAGAGAGCTGCTAGTTAAGGCCAATTAAAGTTTCTCGTGCGTTTTTTTTTTGGAGAGGGGAAAAAAGAAAGAGGAGGCCTTTTTTTTTCTTAAGATGGCGGATTTTCCCAGAGGGAGGATGGATTCTTCCATTTTAAGATTCTTTTGCTGACACTGTTTGCCTAAAGGAGACATCACCAGATTTGAACTTGCATACATTATAGTTACAATTTTGCTGGAAATTAATTTTTAAAAGACAAAATATGATCTAAAAAACAAGGAGGCGGGCGGTAAAAAAGGATGCTGACGGGAACGAGAGACTTGTTTATTTATTTATTTACTTGGCCTAATCAACCACGCTCGTAAACCACTCAGCAAAAGAATTTTCCTGCTTTAATAGGATAGGCCCCATTTTCTGGAGAGGGAATTCAATTGGCTTTTCACCTTCACTGAAGATTCTGAGCGAGGGAGGGGGAACAAGGAGCGCCGGTAATGGGCCTTGAGCGCGCTCAAAGGGAGGGGGCGTGCCCTCTAGCCTACCCTCTTCGCAGGCGTTAAGAAATGTTCTTTCACCTTATTTGCAATTTTCTTGGACGTGCACCCATCGTGACTGATAACCTGTTGTATTCCTTGGGCTTCACACCACGCTGACTTGTCTGGGAATAGCGGTAATCTGTCCACCGCTTGTCCACTGTTATGACCACCACGACCACCAGGCCTTGCTTGTACGGCGTCCGTAGCAATAGCCAAGAATGCCACACTAACGATGATGAAGTGCATCAGGATGTTACTTGATGCCATGTTGGATTTCTCGTTGAAGTCCTGTAAGAAACTATTATAAGTAAAAAGAACACATTTGGCTAACCGCGGCTAGGTATAGTGATGACCATGAATGGGTAACAATTAAGCTCGCACCTTGATCATGCCGTTGGCCCCATGGTTTAGCCTAATGCAGTATTAAAATGTGATTGTATCGAAATAATGGCTAAATGTCATTCCTCCACCGAAAGTTAAAGAAGTTATACGCCCCACAAGTCTCGTACATGACGCATGTCATACTTGCAACTGTGTTGCGGTTGTTGACAGTTTACATTAGGGTTAATGCAAACTGTCATCGGGTTAGACTGGTCCACTAATGGGGCGGATCCAAGAGAGCTGCCAAGAGGCGGGGTATAATCAGGCGTTTCCTGTGTCTTCCTCGGTGCACGATTTTCCTCTTTTTTTTTGTGGCCCAAGAGGTGGTAAATCTGCCACTATGGTCAACTGAAGAAATTTAATGATCTATTTTACCGAAGAATCATTTTTTTCGTCGCTTATTTTGCCGTTGCTTCAACATGCCAAGCGCTGCTATACCGAACTCGTTAGAAGTGCTTAGATCTCGTCAAATGGTAACCCAGCCTTGATCATAAGATGATTACAGACAAGGTCGATAAGAGAACAAGTGATTTGTAGAGCTGCATCAGTTATAAATGTAGTTGCAAACGACTACCATATTTCACGGAAGTTATAATTATAGCCCCGAGCATTCTAACAGTCTTGGCTAGACTGAAACTTCATTACTGACCCCAAAGTCAAGTGTATTGTAATGCCCACCCATCGGCATATTTTACGTCAGAAACATTGTGGTGAGTGTGGTGGTTTGGGGAATAACAGAACCCTCCCAGTGCGGAACTTGTTTTGATTTAGAACCTTGGTTTTGGAGAGAGTTGCGGTCTTGGATTTGGTCCAACTATCATGATTCACGTGATCAGACCAGTACAACACGTTCATCCAAATCAGCAAAGAGAAATTCAGTCACAGCCTGCTGAGTGCAAAAGCCCCACACAAAACGTGAGTCTGAAAATACCCCACTCCCCTCAAATCGTTCAATACAAGGAAATTCGTTCCCGGAACAGAAAATGTTTACATTACACGATTGTCGGACAGGAACTGATATTTTACGACTTCCATGATTACAAATTCGAAAACCACGACTCCTATAAATTCACTTCTCCCACTTGGGAAATAAAGTAAAACCCTTAACATAAATCTCTTTGTTGGTGCATTTGTGCTTGTGAGGCATGTGTTTTGTTATAATAACATGGAGGTGATAAGTGTTTTCTAGAGGGTCATTAGGACAAGTGGATTTGAACCGTGTGGGAAGGGGGCGGACTGTACACCATGGTTAATGATTGATATTATTAGCCGCTCGCATGGGCTTAAATTAAGGTGTTTATAATATAGGATCATTTGCGTTTCTTGTAGTTTGTTCCTTTCCAATAATAACACCACCCAAAATCCAAAACGAAAAGTTAATGTTCAAAACATAACCTGTTGAATCAGTTCAGTATGGATATACATGAAGTAGGCCTAGCCTACACTTTACGAGAAAACAGTGAAACTATGTGCAACTTTAGTTATAGATCACGAAATACGATTTCGTCTATAACTCTGTTTTCAAAAATGACAATAATTCAGTAGGTTATATACTTTCGGGATAGATACAAATGATCCTATTGCCTTGAACTCTGCTTGTCAATGGTTTAATTGCTGCTGATGTCCGTGCTGTTGGTATGAATATCTATGTGTTTTCAATGTTCAGTGCATTATGTACGAGTATGTTATTTAGATCAATTCAATAAGCAAAACATTGGACAGAAGTTTGCTTTTTCGTGATTCAAGTTTAAAGGGACATTTACGTCATGGAATGCGCACAACTGGTCAACAAAAACGCGTTTTAAAGGAAATGATGTTTACTGGAAAGAGCATGTAAAAACAGGATATAAATGTCCACACACCCATCCTTTAAAAACTGGCTGTTTTGTGTTATTCTTGCGATGGCGCGTGATGATCTCGAGAACGAATTTCGGGTCAAAATTTTGACTCTGAAAAATCAAGCTGTTGGGTGCTGGTCGTGACTCGAGTCGCACGCATACTCCTTTGAAAAAAAATCTCAAAACCGCGTGCGTGTTCATCGGTATAGTGAATATATTGACTTATTTGGTTGAAAAACTACCATTGTTTTAGATTAATCAAATTACCGCAGCTATTTTCGGCACCAGTCTGTTGCTGTCACCGCGCCGAGATGGAGTTCCAGGAGTTATTTACGGCTGGAAATACGTATAGGCTATTTTCTCGGGAACGGTAAGACACAGTTTCCTTTCGACTAGACCTTTGAATTTGAAATAGGATAAGTAGGCAATCCAAACCTAGAATTTTCGGGGATTGCAGGCCGTAATGCCCCTTTAAGTGGCCCATTTAAGTTGGCCCATTGAAGGACTTGTAATAACAGCAGCATAATTTTGGAATTATAGGTGTTTTACATGAATCTTTCACAGCATGAACACGGCGAGTTGAACTGCCCAAGCTGCGCTCAGAGAGTAATGTTTTAAACAAGATATTGAGCTGCAATATCCTATCTCCATGAACACAAATGACACATCTGCAGACTACAAATTAACCTTTTGAAAAGGTTAGAAGAGCTCAATAACTATTCTGAATGACTGTCAGAGGGTTTCTTTGTTGTTTGAATTTAGTTACAATGAATGTACTAAAGATATACTCATGCCTATCCAAGTGATACTAAAACTATCACCCCCTGACGCCGCCTATATTAACGCATGAGGTCTATTGTCAATTAAGCTGGGTTGACACCTTTAATTTTATGTGAAAAAAAAACCATATCCTTTTTGAAGCTGTTTTCTAAAGATTTAGTTATTTTCAGAGGTGCATCTTCTGGTTTGTGTTCATATGTTAACTGCTCAGGTAATATATACACATATACTGTGGATTAGATCGTAAATAATACTTCTATACGTGTGTACATCTTTGTGAACCACGTTGTTTTGTGTAGCCTAATGAAATATGATCAAATTATGAAAAATTCATTTCGTAAAAGTCGAGTGGCATCATAAATTTCTCTCAACATAAATCACCATGCATTCTGTATACAAACATAAACAAAGTTGCCTTTAAAGGTGCTAAACTACCACACCATGACTTTTTTATATCAAGAAAGTTTGTCAAAAGTATGACAAACAATCTTCTGTGATTTTAGATATGTTGCCTATTTCCTGTGTAATTTTCTTTAACTTTTTATAATGTACTGGTATGTTTGTGTGTGTGTGGTGGGTGTGTGTGTGTGTGTGTGTGTTAAGGACCCCGACGGAAATAAGCCGTCTTATAAACAGCTTTTTGGATTATCCTTGGCTTTGTTTTTATATGTATTTGTATTGTCATTTCTATGTACCACTGTATGTTTGTTTGTATTTGCCAAAATAAATAAATAAAATAAAAAAACAATTACCAGTACAATGTACTTGATTTGTCAGATACAAAATTAATTTTTGAGAGCAAAAACAGTGCTTTCTTTTCTGAGCCGCTTGCTCATAAGTCCATCAATGTTGTGGTATTTATGACGATGTGTATTTGGTCAGGGCAAACGCCCGGTAAACCAGCTTGTCACCTTGCTCTTAAATCAGCCGACACCAAGCCACCTTTGTAGCGTAAAAGTTACCGCGCCTAGAAAAACATCAGGTTCAGCCCAAATTGATCGTTTGTCATGTAAATGTTGGTCGTAAGCTTCTCTGAAAGCCAAACTTGCACTGTAGTATCCCATGTACATGCGAGTTGATTCATTATTAGACACGTACTCATTCCCTGAATGTAAGTGAATCGCTCTGTCGATCATTTGACATTTTGTGAACAGTAATGTTAGTCGAAAATCATGAACAAACTTCGTTGAAAGATTACTGCTTGTTTTATATTTTTACTATAAAAACGTCCCATCAGGAACGATTTTGCCAGCCATTTTTAAAAAAGTTTTATGGAGTTCCTAAAATAACTGCCTTATTATATCCATTTTTTTATTTATCTTTTGTGGGGATTTTTGTTTTTAATCCACCAATCCCTTCAAAGTGCAAAAGTGAACGTTTGGCGAACGTTCACCTTCCCCTTAGCCCACGGCACTCCTATATCGCTCAGCCGACCCGTATCGACACATAGTTCCGTTGAGTTTCCTTATGACATTTTTTTGGGGATCATTTTTGGGCCGTTATGTTTTTGTTTCAGCACACGCTGCGTGACACAATTCAGATTTCATGATATGAAGGTGCGGCAATGTCAAGTAGGCTGTCATAACAGTTTGAATGCTTGCATCGGATGTATCAACCACTTTTTCTTAGTGTAAATTACTCTGTCTGTTAACCCAAGTGACCCAAATCGACACGTGGTTCCGTTAAGTTTACATTCACATTGCTTTTTGTTCGTTTGCGTGATGTAGGCATACGTTGGTGTGACTTTATGTCAAGTTAGCTGTCATAACAATTTATGTAATTTGGTATGAGGAGCGAACACTCGGATTAAAAAAAACGGTGCTCTTCAAAGTCCTTGGTCATCTTGTTCAAATGACCCTAATCGACACAGGAAACCATTTGTTTGTGATGTTGATGTAGGTACGGTGTGTATACATCTGATGTGAAGGAGCGGCTATAAAGTACAGGATGAGTCAAAAAGAAAGTGACCTAATGAGAGAAAACATATTTAAAAATATGTGGCTCACTCCATGTAATAAAATAACATAGGGATGAAGTACATATATTATTGACTAATAGCTGTGAACATTTCACGTAATTTGCGTACTATGTTCACAAGTTATGTCCATTACAACATAGCATGAACAACTTCAGCTGTCCACCAATGATCATTTACCGTTCAAATACAAAGAAACAAGGACGTTTTCCTGCCTTTAAGAATGAATGAAAATTTGCACTAAAAAAACCCGACGGAAATCCATATAAGTATTTCAGAAAAAAATAATCATATTCAAAACACAAAATCTAACAGTAACACTTAAGTAATGTTTCAGTCTTCAAAAAAGTCCCATTTGTATCTGAAAGGCTATGTGCAAGCGCAATCTCTGGTTCTCACTCAGCTCAATAGCTTCAAATGGCATTCCATGGACAGCTGTAAAAATAGATTGTTTTAGTAAAATATGCATAACTTTTCATATTGCATGGATCGATTTCAGTAATTCCTTTTGTGAAGTGAGTGTAAGAAAATGTTGGTTTAATATATGCTTAGTTGGTGTGCTGAATTTAATTGCTTTTTAAGAAGAGAAAAAGCCAGGTCACTTTTTTTTTATACTCCCCGTACATAAAGCTGACACTTTAATAACAGGTGAATAAGGCCTATATGTTTCGATATTATATAACCCATTGAAATTGCATTTTGGCTAATCTCGTTTAATATGCTTATCCGTTTGTGACCAACATCTGAAGGAAGCATATAACCTGTAAAATAGATGTGGGTTTTTAACATCTGCAGTGTTTGAGGTCATGAGTCCGCTCACGTCAAACTAACCAGAGGAACATTAAAGGTAACATAATGTAACTACGATTTACAGGAATTTCACACCTTACTTGTTAAGACAAATAAATAAAATTATTATATATAAATAAGAAGTCCGGAAGACAAAACCACAAACCTTTTGTGTTGTTTGGATTTGGTCAACCGCTTCGATCCGCCTGTCTCGTCGGGTGTTGCGTACTCCCAGTGCTAGCGAAATACCAACCACCTCCACCAACGCCTTGTGCCTGAAATAATTCTTGCACACCTGAACAACCAAAGTTATACCGTCAGGGTGTGTATATTGTTATACCGGCTCCACATCCGCACGGAAAACTATTTCCTTAACGAAGCAAGTGTGACGAAAGAGCAAACATCCCATAAATAACGAGAAGATCTTGGGAAGATTACGAGACATTGATATAGGAATGTTTATCTGTCTGATTTACCGTATAGGTGAGGATTTTTTCATTTAATCGTAGGACACGACCCCAAGCACCGTGCCTGCGATTCGTCAAGTGTCGATAACCCAATAAAAACGTCTTTATGTATAAATATTAAATTTATTCATCTTGTAATGCAAGTTCTCCGGCGTGGTTTTCAATTACTCCATTTTCGCACATCATTAATCTTATTCACCCTGATTTTTCTTGATCCCATCCCCAGCCCAGTTCCCAGTATTTATTTGCACAGTCATGCACGGTCGGCCGAGAAGATAAACTGTCTGGTCTATACAGAAGAAAAAAAAACTTAAACGAATTCTTTGATGTAAACATCGAGTTGGTTTAAAAACTGTGTGATTTCTTTTAAACTCAATAGAAATTATGTCGTGAGTTGAACTCATACGAACTTCACACAAAATAATATGCTCTTTTTATAATCATCAAATTATATTTTAGTAAGTTGCCTCTTGAAATCGGTCCAATAGCCAAGCCTTATATTTTGTAATTGGGAGATAAAAGGGTGCGGTAAGGGTTTTTATTTAAACGGACCACGAAATAAAATTTTGTTTATAGTCAATCATTGAAAATGCACCTTTGTGTCCCATTTAACCACATTTTAAATTTTTTGTTTTGCCATTTTCAAAGGTAGTTTGATGCCCTTATGGTTTTTACGCTAATGCGAATTGCCATTTATAGGCCTATAAGCAAAAGTGTGATGTCGTTTTCAGAAACCTCAATGTTACAGCTACTTCAAAACCAAAAGTTGCCAGAATTTGGGATGTTTTGTTGCCGTAAATGTTTCTTTTCTTTGGTGATGCGTTGTGTCAGTACATGGCAGTAAGCAAATAAGCAACCCTTTCTCGCAAATGTTTTCGATGAGAAACTTGTTGGGTTAACAATTTGAACAGAACCCCCCCCCCCCCCCCCCCCTAAACTGAACCGTGACCTCCTAAAGTGCCCTCAATTGTCAGGAAAAACATGTACATTTTGTTTTAATATTTACAGAAGTGCACTTGTCAATAAAAGTTAACCCAAAGGGATGTCATATAGTTTTTATACATTTAAGAAGAGTAGAACGTTCAACAAAATATGTTCCGAATTAAGATGGCATGAACTGTTTAATCGCGTACATTATTTTAATACCAATTCGGCAATCAAGGCATATCTAAAGTATTTATTAATGTGTTAAAAAAACGGCAGTGGTCCCAGATTATATTAGCGTAAACGTCACTCGCATGCATAGCCTTATGGGACATTTCGATTTCAATTTCAATTTAAACACAATTATGTCTTTTTGGTGACAAAATTGAAAAGTATTGAACAAGATATAAAGGCCACTAGAGGTGGCAAAACCTTGAAATCAGAGCCTGTATCAGGCATGCCATTATATACAAAAACAGATCCGTGGGTAGGCCAAAACACTTTCAGTGGACACAAACAAAAATACACAGGCATTCTGGTATCGAGCCGGGAGCATAGTTCGATGAACGTGGAGGTTTTATAAATCACCCATCAACTCATACTGTTGAGACCATTAAATGATAATGACGGATGGATTTGCTCCTCTATAAGTGTACGCGGACTCATGAATTACAAGTGATGATGTTTTTCATGCACGTTTTGGTAATGGCTACTTATTCGTAGGGCAACGCGATTGGAGGACTGCTGGTTTGCAAATGATTTGAGGTATGGTACGTGAACGCACTGATCGCTGAAAGGAAAACGTTGTAACATTGACGCTTGTCGCAGACTGATTGTACTATTATTGATGTTACGTAGATTACAAACGGGTTAGCATTTTGTCAATGTTGGTCAACTACCTACTGCCTACAATATTGAGCAAATTCTTCCCAAAAGTTGGTCAATAATTACGGTACATGCACGAATTAACAAACAATTAGGTTAAACTTCTTACCAATAACATTGCCCAACAGTGTTTAACCCAACTTTTTTGTTAGTGTAGCATATATAGTCCTATTATGCAGTATGTCCCAAAAAAGTGTAAATCTGACTATTTTTTCAATAACTATACAAAACCATGAGGTCAATTTTGGATATTGTTGGTTGTGCAGATACTCTTAAGCATTGGCCTCATCCCCAGAGTTTCATTTAATTTCAGTCACGCATCACTACACAATTATTATCAAATGATCACCACACAATTTTTGACACTGTGACTAAGTTCCTTGCCTTATCAATTTCAGTGCTGTGTTAAGTAAGCTGTGTGAAATTCTTCATATTGTGAAAAGGGCTGCAGTTGGGATTGGAATCATTTGCCTGGCTTTACAGTATCAGTCGTCAAGGCAATACCTCAGTTTAATGCTCAAGGGCAAATGATTCCAATCCCAAACAGCCTGTTTTTAACAACATGCAGAATTTTACACAGTATGTGCCAAAAATGAAGATCAGCTATATAGCAATTAAGCAGAGTGTATATTAATGTATGTTTCGCTTGTTCAAACTGTACTGTCACTGAAACTCTAAACACTGAAAATTCACCAATAACAAATAACAGTTTCTTGGCTCCAGCAAATTCTTTCCCGCAGCAAATTTTATGTAAAATACAGCTAAGTTTACATTCCTTTTGAGACTTGTATCCTTAATATATGCATGCCTGAGACTGCAGTGTATCCCTGAGGTTATTGTCCTGCATCACAGCTGAAGGTGATGACACACCTAAGGGTTTGTGAGTTATCTGAACTTGCCCCCCATGCTCCTTGACCGACATTAAAGACAACACCGACAAGGTCTATCGTACACCAGGGAGCGATACAATGTCAGGACCACCCCAAACTGATTGGAAATCTTGTCAATTGAATTTGTAATGGCCACCGGGAGTGATAACTGCGATAATGTAGTACTTGCTCCAGCTTCTTAGAACCGATTTTAAATTGTGAGTATGCAACTGCTTGCCATGAGTTGTAATCGTCGGCGTATATCCTTTCGAGATATATTTCTTATAAAACGTTCTGATAGTGGTGGAGTACATCTTTAGCAAGCACTGTTTATATGTATAACTAAATCTCGCTGGACATTCACGTGCCATTCCTACCTTATATCACATATTCAGCAAAGATTTTGACCGGAATAGAGAGATCCTTCTTCATCAACTTTGATATAGTAAGGAGGATTTGCTTAATCCCTGATAATAATTAGTTTCAAATCATTTCTTCCGGTATATTGGCTATATATACGACTTACCGTTATATTTTGGGTCGGAAAAAAAGGAAATTAAATTCAACAATAGGCCTAATATATTATTGTCATAAGAACACGGCACATGTGAATCATGCATGTCTGTGAGTGTCATCTTGTATGTCACTGACTAATTCTGAATAACTGTAAACTACAGACTGCAGTATCCTTTTCCAGAACTTTTACTTTTGTTTCACCGTGGAGGTGGGAATACCTCCATGGTTCCGTGACCAGCAGGTAATTCAAAACAGTTTCATTCTTGAAGTTATTAACGATGTGACCTACACGAATGCTGTCAATTCAATCGTGACACATGGATTTATAGGACCAATCAGCAGTTATACGTGAATCAAGAAAAAAATGGGGTTTTACTCACGTGAAACAGTTTCACCACGTCCAGTTACCGTACTTTTTATGCCGTCACCATCCGCTGATCAGTACATGTCGATGTGCTTGAACTACTCCATACCACCAGAACAAATTGCTGTAATTTAGAGCTTAAGGCGCGATCGATAGCCGGGTTATTCTACTGACCGCCAACCCCCTAGTGTAAGCTACCGTTACAAAAACACCGCTTGACAAACCGCAGGCTTGCACTGTTCCCGAGTCGCGCTCTTTGTACCATAAAAGCTTTCGAGTTGAATACCGGTGGAAGTGCGTATACGTACGTGGTGTAATTACGATATGCAGTTTAATACCGCAAGTCTTGTTACAGTTTAACTGTGACAAGACTTTCATACGACAGTGTTGTAAGATTGAATTCCTTTTGGTAAATTGAATTCGTTGTGTAACGTTGTACCACTTAATTGTGTCCTATTTCGTTTGATAATAATCTTCAATGCCGAAACTCAAATCTGATATTCATCATACCAAAGAATACAAGTTTGGAGTTTCGTTTGTAATGCAGTGTTTCTCAGCACAAAATACACAATGCCGGATACAGAAATTAAGTGTGAGGCTGAATCTCACTTTTACTTGCAGTAGGTCTTTTCAGTAAATCTATCACCACATAGCGAAATGTAATAAAACCCATGCGAGCGAGGTTTATAGCGAGTGAGTTGCCGGGACAAATGTCAGAATGTTGCGTAGTGTAAATTGAAGAAGACACTGTCTACTCTACGTGTATGCTTGTACATGCAGGGTTAATTGCGCATGATCAGTGAAAGACAATGTCATTAATCACAATTGCTCAAACATAATTTTAAATTCTAACAGGGTTTTTCGTGTTATAATAACTCGGGCCGAATATCTTGTAATTCTCAATGTCTAATTAAAGTTATTAAAAACGTTTTTGTCCTCGTGACGTTTAGATTCATGGCTAGCTTATCTGTGTGAAATTGTGTCATCTCAAATCTAATTCGAAACGAAAAAAAGATAACATGCCTTACATTGCACCTTCAATGTATCTTCAGGGGTGGGACCCTTTAGTCCACAATCAGGAGTATTCATGATGACTGGAACTCATCAAGCTATTGGCGGTTCAGCAACCTCTTGCGGTCAGTAATGTTACCACAACCATATGCCACAATCGACCCAACAGATCCGGATGCCAACTCAGTACAACGACAAAAAGTCAAGTGAGTCTTTTGATGCTCTGTTATTAAGGATGACAGACGCATCCGCACCGTTATGTATCGCTGATGGAGAATAGCAATCCCAATTCATTTCTTTGATCCGGCTTGAGTGATGGATAGGATTAAGATCGTTCCTGTGATGTACCTGAAGGGATGTCAGTATGCGTCAATCCATGTGATGTGTCATGTCATGACGGAATGTATGCCAGTCTCGTATGCGCGCGTCGAGCCATGCGCAATGAAAAAATGAAAGATGTCATGGTTTGACTGGAATACTGCTGCAATTTTAACGTGATTGGTTATGGTCGAGAATAAGCTTTATGTGGCCTGGACTATATATTTGCACTAAGTTTAGTCGGACACCATTTGCAGTCATCAGCACATTGAAGCAAATCAGGTAATTTTTTTTATACCAGGGAATTTTTTTTTTTTTTAAAAAGGCTCAATTGACTTCACGTAATATCAAGCCCATACCATTGTGGGTATATTAACCGTTTCATAATACATATACAGATGGGGGCGCTGTTTCGTTTTATTATTGTGTACATAAATAATGTGCCGTGTTCAAAAGTTGTGACTGTGGCTGGAAAATGACCCGTGCACCTATGGAAGCCAATGGCTCGCGGGCTGCAACCACTTCCCATACAGGCATGTGTTACTCCCGGCCACAGCCATTTTGATCCGCACACCAAAATATTTACCATCTTGCTTTCACTAGAGGTGCTCCCGATTCGACTATCCGTTGTCCCGTGATTTATGCTTATGAACGCTTATAAACCTTTTCGTCTAAACTTTCACAAAACCCATTTTTGGCCGTGAATTGATTTAAAACTTTTTCTCTATAGATACAAATTGGAAAGGAAAAACTTAATAAAGACTTCCTTTATAGATATGTACGATCATTTCTCTTTATTCTGAAGGAATTCTAAAATCTCAACGGTCAGCAAACGAAACCCGGATATATTAGATACATGTATAGCGCCCTCAATGATGATTAAAGAGTACAAGATTGCGTTTACCACAAAAAAATTATCTATTGAATGGAAAAAAAGGATTTATCTGCGCATTTTGCTGATTTTATAAACATTTCATTATTGTGTGTAAAAAATGACAGTCACAATAACACGCTTGTATAGGAAAGATTCGGAATTAACAACAGTAGACGGACATTATTTTGATAAAGAAAAAAAATACATCGTATTGAAAACAAGGCAGGTAGAATGAGCCATGAACAACTTACAAGTAATCTTGAACCGCCGAATTAATTTTCTTTTATGGAAATGACAATAGTACAACGTGCTGGATATATCTCAGCATGTCCCAGGGTACACGGGGATCTTGGCGCGGCTTATATTGCAACATTCGATCCAGTCACTAGCAATGTCTTCGGGTGATTCATGTTTTTCGCATTAGGTCATGTTACAATAAATTTATTCCTCATGATGTGCAATAGTTATGGCTATGCTCAATGGGTTTTTTTGGCAATTTACTAAGATTATTAGGAAGAATTCTATTAAAATTGCATACCTCGTGCTCTTCAAAAAATGATTTGTATTTTTCTTCTGCTAAGGAATGTTCAATGTGTATGTTTTGTTTCAACGAAAGAGCTACTTTATTCCGATTTGGGGCTTGTGCAACCCTCTGAAAAGGGGCTTTCATTTCGTGTAAAAATGAATCCGCCCTGTGAGCTAAATAATTATTGTCTGGCAACCTATATTAATGCGAAATTTGTTAACAAATATTTCAATAGATAAACGTTGGTTGATTTGTTTTCGTTCGATGTCTTATTCGAAAGTGAATACATGTGTAATATTCATATTGCTAGGAAATAACAATTGAAAAAAACATCTATTTTCGAGATGAAACTCGTAAATAGTACGTGGATTGCATATTTAAAAAAAAACCGTGATTTAAATTATTTACCACCGCCACGCCTACCCATCCCTCAACCTGCTCTCCGCCCCACTCGATCCGTCTTCGCCAGAAAGCCGCAGAACTAGCTGTGCTAACTGTTTTTGCAAATTTAAACATCTCATCAAATCTGATATTCGGACGCTTGTGCCAGTTTGGCGACTCAGAAAGCTTAGAATCAGATGGAATTATTCGATTGTACTTCTAACTGACGATGGGGGTGTTTTCTCTTTATTCTATTGGAATATCAAACAATGGAACGGACTGGTCAATTCAGATTGGATGTAGTATAGTGACGGACGCAAAAAGTCAAAAATATTTTTGATATATCGGCACCCAAACACTGTCACACATGACGTTGTTGCCTCACAAAACACATTGGCAAATTGATCATAGTATAAGGATGAGGATTTCAGCCCATGCTTCAATTAGTCTGTACAGGGGGTGACGCTGGCATTGAGTCAGGGAACCCGACTGGTATTTTCACGTCGCCGTATATAACCAGCGCTTCGTCAAGGCCCTAGTCAGATCTCTGATTCAGTGTATACCCTCAGGCTTTGGCGGTAGAGTTCTTATCACTTTAACCACGCTGCTCACCTATCTTTGGCTGAGGAATCGTGAACTATCTTAGTGCACGGAGCGGAAAGTGAGGTAAATTCAAGAAATCCATTATCTTTCGCCTATCGAATTCATGGCATTGCACTCTTAATTACTGGGATTATGGGAAAGTCACACGGCACGTAGGTTCTATTTTGTTTGATTTTTTCTATCAAGTTTCATCTGCATAGTACAGATGCCCTGTCAAAGCTGCATCTTTTACATAGCCGTATTCTAACAACGTACATTGCTATGTGATATCACGTAATAACAGAGAATTTGCAAAAATATTATAATCTAGGCTATATTGTACCACTGTAAAACCAATGTCACTTGTTTAATGTGTATTCGAAACAAATTCCTAATTTTCTTCATAAAGAAACAATGACGGTTTCCCACTATTGTACCAATTTAAATTTTCAATGGATGTTTAAAACATATTTTCCTAATCTTTATCCATAGACAACTAGACGAATTTACCCGAATTATCAACAGACAACTGGGTTTTTGTCTGCCGGTCTCAAGCATCAAAAGAATTCAAGGTGAGTAAATAATCTTGTGATTAAATTACAAATATATTTTTTGACCAAGTACTCAAAAATAATAAGTGTGTTACGTTTGTTCTCATAAAAGTACCTTTGCGAACCAAAATATGAAACTGGACGCCCGAACGCGTAATTTATTGAACAGTTATATGAACAGTTATAATGTAACTTCTTTTCATTTGTTAGAGCAATGATATGAATATAAAACAAATATACGCGAGGTGTTTGGCCACTAACGCGTTGTTTTCATCCGTTCAACTAATTCTGTATTTAATCATTATAATTTCCCACTTTGCCCGAAGTCAAATACATTGGTGTCTTAGCTGAAGCGTCACACACCCACAGACAAGGTGACTGAACATCGCACAACTGAGAGCGTCACTCACTCAATTTCCATTAATTAAACTTGGAGATGCAGCTGCTGCTATATGGAAGGGGCTTTACCATTCATTACGCGCCAAGATATGCAGGATTTCCGGTTTCCGCTGTGACCTATGACCTTCCGTTTTGGGCTTTTGGAGAACATTAGACACACCCTGGCGGCGTCCTTTATTCTATTCATACGTCTTAGCAAAAGGCCAAATATCAGATGTTAACATGAACATTTACACAACGTCAACAAATTCAGTGTCGGTCTATTGCTTTCAGGCAAAATTTGATGTTTCCTTGAATTTGATATTTTGCATTCTAAATATTTCTTTAGTATTTTTTATCTAACGCGTCAAAAACACATTTTTTTCCTCAAGATTAGAGTATCCGTAACTAAATGTTTCCTTTTTGGAAAACTTTCATGTCAAAATCGTCATAGAGTTTTATGTGATATTTTTTTCACAACACATGTCATGCTTCCACACGATTTTCAATGATCGTCACCCTAAACGTGACATTTGACGTTACCAAAAATCAGTATTGCCACAATGGAGATTTTTGAGAAAAAGAAAACAATAATCATATTGTAATGTTTGTTTGATGTCGTATAAACGTCCCTTCATTGTGACATGGAAATTAACTATCACGGGCCCACCAAAATCTGCAAAAACCAACATGCCACTTTTGTTGCAAAAACTGGGCGTTATCTCTTGTAATTTTTAAATAAACGTACAAACTTATATCCAAAATACAAGCGCATGGAAAGCAACATCGATTTGTGTTGTCGTTCATGCATTTTTGTTTCGTAGTGGAGCATCTGGATGTTCGATAAATTATTCATAACACCACTGTCATTTCCTGCCCTAAGCTCCTTAAGTTATGCATAGCGTTCACGGCCATCTGCGTTCCATCTAAGCATCAATATGCATCTTCCCTGCAAGACGATCCTTCCCATCCATGCAAAACATGAATATTTAAACTCGTAAGTCCTGAGGGTATCTCTTGGGAATCTTAAGCTGCGTTCGGACCAGTACACACCCATATCGCTCTGATATTGTCTAGCCAATCAGATGCTTCTCTTGCCACTGCGACGTCATTTTATGATGTAATGCGCAATCGCAGATGTGCCCGTGTTTCTAAGAAGTCCGGAGGGAAGGGTAAGGTTTCGACTCTAGGGCCGAAGGGGTGAATATCTGTATGATGAGTACTGTGTAGACGCTTGGGAGGAAATATCATCTTAGAGTGACTGACCATCTTCTCAAGTCAGAATTACTGTAACTTGAATGTCAAGTGCAGAATCGTGTCAAGCAATACAGCATTAATCGTATTGATTGTCATCTTCACTATTACGGATGTATCATAATGGTACCGGCGCCGTTTCGTTTGGAAGGGTTTCCATTAAGGTATTATTAATAGTACACTGCAGTCAGATCTAGAGTTGTGAGTGAAGAGATACTTGCAAATTGGAAATGTTCGATATATTGTTCACTTTCTTGAACCTGTTTTATGTTTGCTGTTGAGAGGACCTTTATACTTACTGAAATCATTTAGTTATTTTGGTTATATTTTTTTTATACGAACAAATAGATGACGGATGAGGTACATTAAAAGTGGGTAAAATTTTGGCAAAGAAAGAGGAAATGCCAGCGAAGGCAGGGTAGTTGACCTGCGCTTTATAAAAAGCAAATTGTGTTTTGAAGGCAAATGGTTGCTTTTGAGTGTCATCATTCGTGTTGGTATTTTTGGCGAGTACTGCCAATAACATCACTTGGTAAAGTGAAGAAAGTTTGTGAGGTGCCGTCCCTTATGGATTCCATAAGAATTCCCTTGCGTGAAATTTGATTTGTATAAACTTTTTCTTCTTTGATGGGGAGATGTAAGATCAATATATTGTGTGTCCTGTTGCTGCTAGTTCGTAGTGTAAAAATTTAGTTTTATTCTGTTTTGTTTGCTGTTGTGCGCTTTCGTTATACATGTAGGCCTGATGAAGATGTTGGCATTTAATGAGTTGTGTATATTCATAAAAATGTTGCAGATGCGATAGCAGACAAATGAGAGATTTTTACTATTTATGTCGTCTTCTTGTTTAATCATGCATTTTGTGATCTCAATTTTTCCCATGGCTGAGTATTCTGTTATTTGTGCTCACGGACCAACGGTTACATTGTGGTGTTACACACCTTGGGGTTTAGGTCAGGTCTCGGCCGTTTCTTATAACTTCCCTGTTCAGCGATCTTCATAATAATGTTCTGGTCATATTCTTAACTGTTCACAGAGGTGCATTCGTTTTGGTCGTTGTGATGATTCATCAAACCTTTGACATTTCCCCAGTAGTAGTAATAGTAACCTACGGAGTTGTACTGGAATTGGCGGCAGACTTAATTTGGGTCAGGGGATCTAGTGCACAGAATGGGTCAATAAACTGCTCTACATGTTCATATACAGTGACCCTTGTAATAATTTATCCAGGATGGTATACAGCAACTGATGCAACATCTCAATGTAAGAGAGACACTCTGAATACGAATACCAAGACGACCAAGTGCATAGATTTTTCTCCCCAGGCCCGATCGAAATCTTGGCTTGTTTTTCCCGCCTCTCCACGTAGCCATTTCTGGCCCCATCAATTTGGCCGAGTGGATGAAATGCGATAAGTTCGTGTCTCCTGGAACCTTCAGATCACACTGCGAGAGGCAAATGAGAATCAATCGAATCGAAATCAAAGCCTTTTTGTTGTTAAAGGTTCCCCTGTGGTCCTTCACACCAACGTGTTGGGAATCCATGGTTTGATGGTTGTCGCAAAATGTAGTTGAACAATCCAACAAATGTTGTTATTCATTCGTGTGTGTTATTATCTCACAGTAACGCGACAGTGTAACCTATTGTTGCGAATCAATTCATCTGACATCAGTTTCAGCTCAGCGCTGAGAGCATTTAAGATTCGAAAACTTAATTATACTTTAATGGTATATCGTAGCTTTAATTTCCGCATAAAAGACCATTTATCTCTTTGTGAGTTAAAAGCATTTTCAGGTACAATGCTTGCCGGCTTGATGCCATCTATTGTCGTGTTAAGTAACGCACTAATATCAAATTGACGTCAATGCTTATAGAAATTTGAGTTTTCTAAATTTAGCCCGTTCATATAATTGAATCGAATTCTGCCAGAAATGTATCTGAGATTGTATAAGGATTTTGGTATATTATTCAAAGCAGTGTACAACAAAGGATTCATTAAAATTAATGCTGACATTCTCATTGAAGTCATGAACGCATTGTCATTAGTAAAATCTATAGCAAAAAGAACCGAAACACACGAACTCTTATAATTGACAATTTTTTTATACATCGGCGAAGGGCAAAACCCAATATATAATTGGCACTTAGTTTAATGTTGACATGTGCTTTAAAAGAGCACTTTACTGTAGCCTATTTTAATATACATGTATATAATAATTATAGGTTCGTAGAATCACCGCCCATCGGCAAACTCGTAAAAAGTGCAAGCAAATTTGCCTCTGCATTAATAATATCAAAATGCCTGTATGCTAGATGAGGTGATATAGCACCAGAAGCGGGTTGCATAGCAAACGCGTAGATACCGACCCCGTCCGTCGGTGTGAGGTTCGGCGTTGCGTGGCCAAACCGGGATCTGCTCAATCAATAACATCGAACGGTTTCTGGAATATGGATAGAAACCTGACTATGGAGACGGAGAGGATATATGCTATATATCAAATCACTCGAAATGGGGAAATTTATATGAAAGAAAGCAAACGCTAATCCAATACAAACCGTTATATATAAGCATACCTGTTTTTTTTTTAATTTCTACAAATGGTTGTGATTTCTACACATTTTGACGTTTAACTACAAATGCTGTTTCTAATATGACCCAATGTCCGCTCCTTTTCACCATTGTGGCCCCCAGTCTGGCGGCGCATAATAGTGCGCGTGTAGTCGCTACGCAGATTGATGTCTCCCTGGTGCAATGACATTGTTTTGTTAGATTGAAAGAACGGTATACCACCACCCAAGTCATGGCAATGGATGTATAGCGCCACCAATTTAACATCTCGTATGCGTATGGTCCATATTTTTGTCAATATGATACAAACTTTCAGAAAACTGTTTTCTCTTGCACTGCATGTACATTGTAAATCAAATTAGGTTTTGCCCTTCACCTACGTATAAACACTGTATACTCAGTGTGTTACCTCCCGAGTGAAAGTTGGAAAAAAAAGTACATTGTTTATCTCTTGAAATTTGAGTAGGTTGAAAGTGTAAACAACCTAAATTGTTTAATATTGGCAAAATGACGTACAAAATAGATTTATAATTATGTTTGACTTGCCTGTCGGTATGACGTCACAAGCGACATGGTATATAGTGTACGTGTTTGCTACCTTTAGATTGTTTTCTACAACCTATTAAACGTTGATCCATGCCTCGCGTGCAACGTGCTACTTTTGTGCTGCCATCCTTAATTCGTAAATGACATTACTTATCATGCGAGTGGTCACTAATCCGTCATACGAAATACCTCCTAGAACGAGGTATTTACGACCGTCCTTTATTCCTAGGCCTTCTCACCAGCTCCTCTCTCCAGATCGACTTTCAAAAGAATT